CTGTATTGTATGAGTGTCAGGAAGACAAACACTTATGCTAATATTTTATTGCTTTTGCAGTGCCAAAGCTAGATTAGCTCCCTGGCAATACTGAAAAGGTTATTTGTTTTGTTTTGGTATTTTTCTTACTCTTTTCCTTTTATGTTTTCTTTCTTTTTCTTTCTTTCTTTCTTTCTTTCTTTCTTTCTTTCTTTCTTTCTTTCTTTCCTTCCTTCCTTCCTTCTTTCCTTCCTCCCTACCTCCCCCCTCCCTTCTTCCCTCCCTCCCTTCCTTCCTTCCTTTCTCCCTCCCTCCCTCCCTCCCTTCCTTCCTTCCTTCCTTCCTTTCTCTTCTTTCCTGAGTCCTTCAAGTGATTCCAAATTCAAAGAGCCAATAAGGGTATACTTCGCAAATTCTGTGTCTCTGCCAATTTTTGCCCTCCAAGCACTCTGTTCCACTCATTAGAGCTAATTAATGTTACCAATATTTCTTTCTTACTGTTTTTAGGCACATCGTACACTTTATGCATCTTTTCTCAAAGTGAGAATCTAGGAATCAAGGGTTTTGACTTTCTGGTTACACGACATCCCCACAGGTTGGTCGCTACCGTATGAGACTAAGCTGAAGATGATTCCAAGAGGTTGGGAATAATATTTCCTTGAAGCAGCAGACACCGGCCAGGGTTCACTCTTCTACACTCCACTGGCCAGACCGTTAAGTGTCTTGCCAATGACTGCAGAGAACAAGAGATAACATCCTGTGTGGGTAAATATGGCTATTTCCCTTCTGACCAGCTTTCCTGACAAGGTCACACAATTGCTTCTTTGTTCTTGTTCAGTGAGCTGGACAGTTGGTGATATGGAAAGAATTATTGCTGTAATCTCTGAGAGTTCAGTTTGTAACTCATGCCTAGTTCTCTTTTCTCTCGCCCCTCTCTCTCCCCCTTCCTCCTTCCAAATGAAATAACTTCCCTTAAGGCAGAGTTCTAATAAACTCTTTGAAGATTCACAGACCCAAATTCAGGTATCCAGTTCCTATTTGTTTTTACTGCTTTGTAAGCCTAGGCACTGACTCTTTTTCATTCTCAGGGTCTCTCAAGTACATGCCAGGCAGCAAAGTTTTATTTTTTTTCTAATGACTTAACATCACATGTATGAAGCAGGGACAGTAAAGTGCTAATTAAGATGCCCTTGAGTGAAACATGGTTGAAATATGATGCTCATCCCAGTTTTCTCTGGGAGCTAATTTAATTTCACCCATTTCCAGGTTCTAACTTAGCTGTGACTCTTAGGGATTTTGTTTATAAATTTATTTATAGAAACAAGGCCCACACTCTCTCTTCTTCCTAGAAATCTTCTACGTTGGAAATCTTCGATTTCTTGGAAGTCTGTTGCACAATGCCCTTCTTATCACCGAGCTCCCTCTACCTGAACAGCTGTACCTGAATAAAACAGTCTAAATAGGACATTCTTTAGGAGAAATGCTTGCCTTTTATGCTTAGGATGTGTGCAATTTTGCAGTTCCTAGATATAGTCAACATAATGGGTAGCTCCACTGTGTAATACCACTGGGCTAGGGAGCTAGCAGGCTCCTGACTGGCCTCTCCTGAACCATAATAGCCAAGGAAAAGGAAAAACATATGGTACATGCTGTTAGAAGCCTGTAGGATTTGCGTGGGTTAAATTGAGGACTAGATGTGATCATGGGTCTTCTGTTAAAATGCTGTTTTAAAAAAAATCATAGCACAGACTTACCCAAATACAGCATTTATGTCCATTTCCAGCAGTAAAGAAATCAAGTATATTGATTGACATTTTAAGTTCCCTGTTGAAGTAAAGACAAACGAGAAGGAATACATCCAACTCTAGGCTGTGGACTTTTATTCTACTGCTTACTTTTTTAAAACAGCAAAATTAGGCTTTTGCTTTGAAAAAAAAATCTACCTAACATTATCTATTTTACAACATTAATTTCAACTGTAGATGATCTTCAACCAGGAATAACATTATGAGTAGATTTTCATAGTGGAGAAATTGCCCTACCCCTTTTAGGATTTTTGGATGAGATTTAAGAACATGAAGTAGGTAAAACCTTACCTGTCAAGTTCAACATTATCATGTGGTCCAGGTCAGTACAGAAAAGATTAAGCAAGAGGGATGATATAGTGAACCAATGATCCCCACAGCACAAATGGAAGCCGAGTTCAGGGCTAATGAGATGATTTCTTTTAAACTTTACTACTGGTGGAGAGAAGTCAGGCAGAATATGTGCATATCTCTTTGCAGGTTTCAGCTGCAACAGTAGCACTGAGTTACTCATGTGGAGAGATGCATCAGAGGTGAATATCTTAATTCGGAAAATCCCACCCTCGGTGCCATTACTCTCCAGGATTTGGTTACAGAAGGAAAAAGGAAACTTCATTGTTGGAAAACTATTCAGTAGGGGGCTGGGGATTTAGCTCAGCGGCAAAGCGCCTGCCTGGCAAGCGCAAGGTTGTGAGTTCGGTTCCTGGTACCGGAGAAAAACAAAAAAAAAAAAAAAAAAGAAAAGAAAACTATTCAATAAAACTACAGATGGGGCATCTATGGTGTTGTGAGGCCATGCCAGTATAGATTTGGAGTCCAGCTTCTGGGAAATGGGTTTCTATTAATCAAAATACAAATTAACCGCCATTCGTGTACAGAAATGAAGATTTAATGGGAACTAGATTTCTTAAACCAATTGGTGAGCCCATTCTACATTCACTGGAAAATTATTTGAGAAAAGAATTATGAAGTTGTGAGGTAGCAAAGGGAATAAACGGTGCTAAAATTTAGGATCATCAGACTTTGAAAACCTACCATTGCTTTCTTTAAAGATTACTCTGGTGGGCAAGTGAAAGCATCTTGATACATTCCTAGCCCTGGAGGGCTAGAGGTGCAATGGTATATCATGTAGGCCTGACATTCTTAAAGTGTGGTCCATGAAACCCAGGGAATCTCTGAAACCCTTCTAGGATGTCTGCAAGTCACAATTATTTGTGTGTGTGTGTGTGTGTGTGTGTGTGTGTATGTGAGAGGGAGAGAGAGAGAGAAGAAAAGATCTTGCCTTTTTTATTCTTCTCACCAAAATGTAGTGGCATTTACCAAAGGCTACATGATAATGTTATTTGGACAGCTAATGTGTTTCCAAAATTTCTCCATTTTAATTTTGAATATGGTAAATATTAATAGATATAATTTATATTTTTAAAAGTTCTTTAGGACTCTCAATATTTAGGGGTATAAACTATTCTTAAGACCACCAAATTAAAAATCACTGATATAGACCATCCTCTGTGTTAGTTAGCTTTTATTACGGTCACAAAATACCTGGGACAGTTTATATGAAGGAAAAGCTTATTTTGGCTCACAGTTTTTAAGGTTTCAGTCCATGGTCGATTCAGTTGCTTCGGCAGTACATCATGGTAGCAGGAAGGCGTGGTGAATTAGGCTGCTCATCTCGTGGTGGCCAGGAAGCAGAGAGAAAGGAAGGAGGAGCTGTGATCTCAGTATCCTCTTTAAGGGTACCCTGTATCATGCTACAACTTCCCCCTTACTCATTTCTACCGCAGAAAGGTTCCACCACTTCCCCATAATGCCACAAGCTGGTGACTAAGACTTTAACATATGGCCTGTAGGAAATATTTAAGGTACAAACCATAGCACACTCTGTGATAATACTAGCAAACACCAATATATTATTCTTTTTTATGAGGTTTTGGAAATACCTTAGTATCTAGATGAAGCCAGGTTAATGAAATTTAGGAAGTATTCTCTGTCACTGACCATGTAAGATTCACATTACCTTAAAGGCTCTAAGCAACTGTGAATAGTCATGCATTCCTGCTAATGCCTGAGTATAGGTACTCAATTTCTTTCACTGAGTATATTAATTTGCAAAAACAAAACAAAAAAACATTATTATCTGTGATGTGTCTATCTAACTATCTAAAATGATATTAGAGTTCATGGGCACTGTTTTGAGAGTCCTTGAATTCCAACTGAACTAAAATTAAGAATCACAGCCTACCAAGGATATAGGACAATGAAGCAAGTTATTGTGTCCTCATTTGCTGCCTTGTTTGTTTTCTTCTGTGCAAGGATTGGAATCAGTTTAAGCATAAGGCCATTTGTTTGAGATTTCTGCAGTCTGTTCTTCAAATATAGTCAGTGCAGAAGTTGATTCTCACCTGTTGGTCTAGCATTCATTTAGTCTGCTCCCTGGAGCATAAGGGGCCTTTTAATACAGCCCCTCTTGAAGCTGGACACAGCACATATGTGTCTGTAAATATATTTCCAAGCCTGGACTTATCTTTTTTCTCCCCCACACTGCAAACAGATGGACCAGGACAGATCTAGAGGCATATATACTCAAGTCCAAGTAACCAAACAATAAAATAGTTGGCATGGAAGTCATATAGATTTGACTAAGCAAAGATCAGCTGAACATCTGATACATGTGAGACACTAGAGGAGGAGAAAGGGAGAGGGCCAGGCAAGGCATAATTCCTGGGGTCAAGGACTGTGACAAGTAACCACTTGCCATTTTCCAGTTATTGCACCACAGTACGTATAGTATCCTTTGTTATATATCAGAGTTAACTGACAGAAATAAGGACAGAAGGGCAACCTCTCTTATCTCCTTTATTGTTAACAGGGTGACAATTATTGTTAACATCCTATTGAGGGGCCCCCTTCAGCCATATCTGACCCTCCAACCAGAAGAAAGTGATGAAATAACTTTCATAGAAAATCCATGTCTCAGAAACAGAGGGATGTCAAATTTATCATAATATGGATAAAAATATTCAAGAAAATAAGATGAGCAATAACTCATCATACTCCGTTTTAACCAGTACATCTTTATAATCATGTAAATTATATCTTGTCTTTAGGAGAAATGAGTGAGGAAGTGACAAGAGCTAAAATACCGGCAATGCTCAGGAAGGCAAACTGAGTCATCTTTTGGAGCTCGGAGGAAATGATGAGAAGACACCAATGTCAAGAGAGGGGGAGGTCTGATGCCTCATCGCTTTATTGCCTTGCTGTTTGGTTTCTTTCTGGGCAAGGGAGGGTGCTGAGTTTCCTGAAGGGTTCTGTAGACATCTGACAGCAGCCCGTGGAAGACACCCGTCCTGGGACCCACAATAGGCAGTCTGTAGTGAATACTCTCTGGAGAATAGTGTGAGAAGGAGGAAGAATAAAGGTTGTTTAGAGTCCATTCTTAATGAAACTCAAAGTAACCAAGGGCCACCAAAGATTTCCTCAACTTTGTCAAATAGATTCAAAATTCACAGAAGAATGTCTTGTAATAAAACCATCTTGTCCTCCACAACACCTAAGCTTTTATACATCCTGTCAAAGAGGTCAAAAGAAGTACTTAGAAATAAAACGCAACTGTTAGGAGTCACCGCTGATTAAATTCAAAATGAGTATGAAACATCTGGAGTTGTAATATCAGTCAAAGGGAAAAGAGGACTGTCAGACTTTTCAGGGACATATATAGTTCTGTTCTTTGAAAAAAAGGAGCAAAATGATCTTACCAAAAACAACAACAACAACAACAAAAACCCTATAGTAGGGACAGAAACTATTTTGCATTTCAAAAGAAGCCTTCATGGTGTGAATAATTTTTTTGTACTCTTTAAAATCCTTACCATTCTGAACTCTTCTTCAAGTATGATATGACTTATAAAAACTTAGTTACCTTTTAGTTTTTCCAGGAGGCATATTGCTTGAAGGTGGGTTAATCAACACATAAAATAACACCTTCCTCTTGGAATCACTGAATAATTAAGGGAATTAGAGCCTTGAGCTTTCTGGAACTGGCTCCTTGATCAAGCCTAATGAGAACTAGGGATATTATTAGATAAAAATCTAGGATCTGATTCTGTCTCATTACTGTAATGAGGAGGAAACAGTGCCCTAGGGTAAGGGGGCCAAATGGACTGAGGACTGGAATCCAGGTCTCCTGAAGCCTAGCTTAGTGCTCTTTGCACCACGTCATAGAGAGAAGGGTAACCAGTTGCCAGAGGCAGATGTAAATTAGGTGGTTAACATCAGTACCAATATATCAATACTAAGATCCTGTAGATGTTATGGAACTCTGGACTCAAGGCAAGGATAAATGAACAGAAAAAATCCCTATCACTTGTAGAGACAGGTTTTCCATTTAATTGGCTCCCATTAAGAATTACTGTTAATACATAAGGTTTAGCTGAATCCAGAAAATGTTAGAAGTCACTGCTGTAACCAACAGAATGAATTCATCATTGGCAGTAATGTTTACTGGGATGCTTCAGATGCTTAGTATTTACAGGGAACACAATACAAGTAGTTGGAAGCTTTTACAGGGAACACAATACAAGTAGTTGGAAGCTTCAGCAATAAGCAACATGCCTTGCAGTACACATGACTTGTCTATTGTCTAAACTGAAGGGTTGGTACAGTGCTCACAGGTTTTTTTGGTTTGGTCAAAGATAAAGTTTACTTGTGTTGAGTGCCTAGCTCTCAGTAGGATAAGGTGCTACTCTGGTTTTATAAGTAGGAATGTGGAGACAAACCCAAATAGCAGGATGACAATTTGGATCCGGGTTTTATTGCTAACAGGCTAGTGCTTTTTCCATGGCAGAGATCATGTACAAGAGTAGAGCTCAGGTCAAAAAGGTCAAAACTAGAATTAGCAATAGACCTACCAAACTTAAGCTCCTAGACAGTTCTGAAACCATGCTCCTTGTACTTTCACCTCCAAGATTGCTATCCTAGATTGGACTCTGGACAAAAATTAAGTCTGTTCAAGAACCTAACATGCTAATCTTGTGTACTCTGACTCTATCTGTGATATTATTAATTGAAATACACATCCAGGGCTAAAAAAATTAGTGAAAGGCATCTTGTTACATTATTCTCTAGGATCAGAAAATTAATTTTCTTGCTGAAAGGGGAGAAAGAGCGGAAGAGAGAGAGAGTTTGTGTGTTTGTGTTGTGTTTCATTTCTTTGCATTGTAGGTTTGAAAAAATCCAATTCCAAGGAGAATTCCAAATGTGTGCAACTGTCACAGATAACTCTGAGACTAAATGCTCTCAACAGTAGGGAAGTTTTGTTCTGTAGGGGTTCTTAGCTTCCACTTTTGCTAAATGAACTTGGCCAATACTTTAGGATACATAAGTGATGCACAGGGATTGCTTTTCACTACACTAAAGCAGATATCTCCAAACCTCAGCTGTTTCTTAATTCTTTGGTCTTCTTTTTGCAATCCCTTCAATATATCATCCTCAAGTTTCCCTTCTACATGACTTCCCATGTCAATTCTGTCTTTGGATCCTCTCCAGTTTTCTAGAATAAAGCTTAGACTTTCTTATCCATATAACATGATCTTGATTTTCTTTACTGTATATATCTAATGAAAGAAAAACCTTATGAGACTTCAGTTAATTTGGGAGAAAATAAAAGATGGACAAAATAGCCTTGGCTGCCCTAAGCTTTTGCATTGGATCAGCCTAAAGAATGGCCCACCCCCACCTTTACTGGCCCATTCCTGGTTTCTCCAAAGGATGTGATTTAGGTCAATGCAGAAGGCTAAGAAAGAATCAGTGTTCTCTGTCAACATCAGATGACAATAGAATACCATTGGGAAACTGTTGGAAGAAGGCAGATATTTTAGACAACTTTCAGGGCCTTGGTGAAGCCATCCCAGGGGTGCGGTGACATAATTTCCTTTCCACTTTGATTAGTACCATCAGATAAAAGTCCCTGAAAGACTTTTATCTGGTTTGTGCCCCATCTCTATGGAAATCCTTCAGCAAGTGAATTAATGGTTAGAGCCAAGTGGCTTGGAAGACAGAGACTGAAAAAACACATGGTACAGTTAAGGGCAAGTGAGGCTGAAGGGAAGGAGAGGTAGGGCTCCATGCATATGAAAAGAATGCATGAGAGAAAGGGATGGACGATAGGAATTTATTCAGAAAACTTAGAAAATTGTCTTAGGGATTAAACTTTTCACTCTATGATCCTAGCATAGTGTATCTCACATTGTAAGTAATTCAACAGAAAACAAACCTGTTAGCATGTCATCACAAGAAGGTTTAGGCATAGCCTGGGCTTTGGATTGACGAAGATTCATCATTCTGATTGGAAGAAGAAAACACCTTAGTCAATTGGCTAGCACTTGATGAAAAGGAATATGTCTTCACCTACTGAAACACAGATGGTCTCTTGAGTCCAGTGATTAGGACTTTGTGCAGCAGTGACCTGGGCTGAAAATTACTCAGTCTCGAGGTCTTTTTACTTAGTGATATTTGCATTGGTAGGTTTTGATAAAACCTACGTTTAAAAAATATTTTATTTCACTACAGAACATGTATGGTCTGAAAATATGAGAGATTAAGAAAAGAGTCTTCCAATTTTCAGAAAAAAAGTAACAATTTTTCTAGGTCAGTAATCTAGCCTTAAAAATCAAAACAGAATGTTTTGATTAGAATCTACCTACTTTAGAGAAAATCTTCTGACCACATCTTACTATGGTGATGGCCAAGTCTATGGACACAACCCTCAATCGAAATGCCTATGAGCCCAAAACATTACAAGATTGGTCTAAATTGCTTAATTCTTGAGACTGACAAATTGGTAAGCTTTGATGGGCTATATTAGGCTTATATTCATTTTATGGTTTCTACTTCCACAAAGATCTTCCTATTTTTGCTTTGCTACCCAAAACATGGCTAGTCTAAAGAGTTTGTTTTACTCAATTGCTACTTGAGAACTCATTGAGACTGAGACAAGCATAAAGCAAAATCTTTTATTATCCATGTTGGCAAACAGGCAATATTTTCAAGACTGCATAGCTTTAGATCTATCTGTTCTGTAATTCAAAGAATGTATCTGTGCCTCCACCTTTTTTCCCTCTTGCTTCTTTCTTTTCTTCACTTCTTACATCCAGTAAGCATTATTTTAATTCCTATAAGGGCTATAATAAAGTCATTTTTAAAACACCACTATTTCAGTGAGGGCAATTCCATCTGCTTATATGTGCAGTGAGACTTAAAAAGTATGGAGGACAGATTTTATGAGCCACAAACATCACAAGGCCTTATAGTCACCCTGCTTTAAGTCTCCAAAAGAAGTGGTGTATTTCCTTCATCATACTGAAAAAAACAAAACAAAACAAACAAACAAAAAAACCCAAAAAAACAAGAGAAAGAATAAGACCAATGATGCTTTTGGTTGGTGGTGGCATAGTTTTAGGAATAGCTACATTTTTGGTCTTAGTTTTAAGGAGATGAAAGCTATTTATTTAAAACAAAAACCAACTGATGATTCTGGGATTTGGGACTTCAAAGTACTAATCTTACAAGATAAATAAAATGGGGCAAAAATTTCCAAATCTCTTTTATAAGAGAGTTAACTTTTACTAAGAAATCCTTGATTTTACATAACTTTCTACTTAAAGTTTACAGAGGGTATTTATTGAAATTTTATCATGATCTCATGTAAGAGTTCTTTGAAAGTATAGAGTGAAAATAGGTAGATGTTATTAGTGATGGCACATGTGCTCAAATACCTATTTCCTCCATGATCTTGTCTACACTTGGTACATGGTTTCCAAGCATCTGACTTTTTATCATAGTATGGAACAAGCTAACGTAATAAGATGAATCAGGATGTCTACTTCTGAGCAAGATAAAGTTATAAAAAGACCAATTTTTGCCCTTTCATTATTTCTTTCTGCATGAAGGGAAAACTTATCTATTGCCCTTGTATCACATGTCACTATTTTGGTTTACATTCCAATCATCTGTGGTAAAGCAAGTCACCATAAATTGATGCTTTACGCAGAGTCCATGTTTGGGTTTTTTTTTTTTAATAAAGTGAAAGTCAAATCCATCAGTAGCTGATAATTAAATACCGAGAAAACCCTTATTTCTGTTGTACCTGGTGTTAATAAATAAGCAAGTAGTGACAACCAATGAAAAAGATAAAAGGAATTTTAGTTACTAAAAAGTAGCAGATGAAGCCGGGCATGGTGGCGCACGCCTGTAATCCCAGCACTCGGGAGGCTGAGGCAGGAGGATCGTTGTGAGTTTGAGACCAGCCTGGGCTACAAAGTGAGCTCAAGGCCAGCTTGAGCTGCATATCGAGACCTTGTCTCAAAAAGACAAAAAAAAAAAAAAAAAAAAGTAGCAGATGATGTCTTGGGTTCAGGACAGTTGATGTATAATCTGTATTTTGTGAATTATATGTGTCATCACTCAAGTTTTCAAAATCTCCTGTCTTATTCCTTACATTGTTTTTTTTTTAAGATAGAAGATTTTATTTTCTACAGTAGATTCAATGAAAAGGTGGAACAATCGTATTTGGTCTGACTCTCTAGTTTAAAAAGAAAATGAAACCTGTCAAGAAATCCATTCCTTAAGCATCCTACTTACTCTTCTTGATATACCACCCCGCAAATACAGCCAGAGTATTAATAAAGACAGGACAAACAAAGTCCTGTCTCTTTAGCTTACCTGTGATTCATTAGATTCTTGAAGGATAGTTTCAGATCATCTGGGATTGTCATAGTTCTTGGTTGTGCCTAAGGAAGAAAGTCTCATTTAGAACACTGGTCATAACGACATTCTAATTTAAATAAATAATATACCACCTTAGCAAGCTTGAGTTGTATTGACCTTAAAGTCATCTATACATTGTTATGCCATATTAAAATAAGACAGAGGGTGTCTATCACTGTGCCACCATGTGAAGGCATCACTTTTATTCCCTGCTTATTATATTTTACAGTTAGGTATCTCAAGATTTGTAGGCCTTCCAAACCTGTTTAGAGCACCCCCACATATTCCTTTTTTTTTTTTTTTTTTTTTTTGCACCAGGAATTGAACTCAGGACCTTGCACTTGCCATGCAGGCACTTCCACCACTGAGCTATATTCCCAGCCCACCCCCAAATATTCAAGTCTCGGGGTACCCATCATTCTCTCACAGGGACAACTGGCTCTTGGACTACTATTTAGGACACAGTTCTCTGCCTTCTGTCCTCAGGGCTACTGAAGACTCATAAACACTTTATTGTATTTCTGTGCTTAATGTCTGGCTTTCCTGATGGACTTTCAGCTTCATAGTGACAGAGGTTACATCTCTCTTTTTATATTTCCAGCTCCCAAACCTCCTATTTAGGACATTTAAAAATGAATTTGTGACGGGATGTGCCCACTTTGAAGCACACTTGAAAATTTCAAGTGTGCCCTTCCTATGGGCTAAAATCAGTGTAAATCAGCAGTTTTCAAATTGGTTTCTAGCACTAGATGTTGAAAGTGTTTTTCATTAAGAAGCATTGCTGTTCAATATGTCTCAGAAAAAATAGTACCCATGACAATTAAATGATAATCACAAAGATGTCGGTGTGGGTGATCAGCCTGCTTACTCACTGAGTGACTGGTACAAAGTCACTTGGGACTTAAATTTATGACAATAAAATTGCAAATTACAATGCATCAAGGACCTCTAGAGGTGCTTGAAAATAGCAAAAAACGGCATATCAAATCTACACAGTCACCTACTATACGAAGTCAGATTGTTCTCTACCTTAGCTGAGGGAAGGGTGGAGGAGGGAAGGAAGGCACGTGGGTAACAAGGAGCATCTGGGGTCATTGAAGACAGCAACGGCATTTTCAAGAGCCTAGGAGAGGTTCCTAGATGCATAAAGGGGGGAGAATATAACAGAGACCTGACTTTGTTCTTTTCCAAAATACCATCTAAAGTTGGCTCTGCTTCAAGGAAAGATGCAGAAAACTCTTTCTGAATAGCGTAATCCCTGTTCCAAAGCCCCTAATTCTAGTTGATATTATATGCATTAAGTGGGCTCCAGGGGATACATCAAAACAAAATTACCAATGATCACTTTGTTTCTGGGGAAAAGTATACTGTGGTGAATGCCTATTTTTTTATTTCCCCTCCTTTATTAACTTTCTCTTTTTAATTGTATAAATTTATAGGCACAGTGTCATAACTCAATACATGCATATAGTGTATAATGATCGAATCAGGAGATATTTTCCTTTCCTTAAACATTAAAAACATTCCTATTAGCACATACTACTTTTCTCTGTGTAGTGCAGGGAATCTTACGTGCTATTGTTATTGAGGTTTTAAAAGTAGCTGACATTATCCGGATCTTTACCCCGTGTCAAACAAATAGTTTACAAACATTTTCTCTCCTTCTGTAGGCTGCCTCTTTATTCTGTTGTTTGTTTCCTTTGCTGTACAGAAGTTTCTCAGTTTGATAAAATCCAATTTCTCTATTCTTGGTTTTGTTTCCTGTGTATTTGGGGTCTTATCCAAAAAAAGCACTGCCTATACAGATGTCTTGAAGTGTCTTACCTAAGTTTCCTCCTAATAGTTTCACAGTTCCATGCCTTACACTTAAGTCTTTGATCTATTCTGAGTTTATTTTTGTATAGGATGAGAGAGAGAAGTTAATTTACAATTTTCTGCACCTGAATATCCAGATTTCTCAGCACTGTTTATTGAGAGGCTATTTTTTCTGCAGTGCATATTTTTGGCACCTTTGCCAAGAATCAGTTGACCATAAATGCATGGGGCACTCTATTCTGTTGTTTTGTCTATGTTTCTGTTTTTACGTCAGTACAATGTTGTTTTGATTACTAGAATTTTGTGGCATAGTTTGAAGTCAGGTAGTGGGATACACCTTCATTCAGCTTTGTTTGTTTTTGCTGAAGATTGATTTGGTTATTTGGGGTCTTTTGTGCTTCCATATGAATGAATTTTAATAACCATTGTTAATTTCCTGTCATCTTGTTTTGAAATTCTGTATCATTTTTATTTTTTTCTCTCTAAAACAAAAAAAAGATAGAAATGGCTTTTTTCTAGTTTTGTAGGTCATTTGTATTTTGATGGGTATTACATTGAATCTGTAGATTTCTCTGTGTAACATTGTATGGACATTTTAATAATATTTCTTCCAATCCATAAACAGAGAAGATACTTCCATTTTCGTGTGTGTGTGATCTTTAAATTTTTTCATTATAGATTTGTAATTTTCATTGTAGAAGTTCATGTCCTTGGTTAAAATTATTTGTAGGGTTTTTTGTTAGTTATTATAAATGAAATTCCTTTCGTGATTTCTTTTTCAGCATTTTCATTATAAAATGCTTCTGATTTCTGTATGCTGATTTCGTATCCTGGTTTCACTGGTTTCGTATCCTGGTTTGTTATTCTAATTGTGTTTTGGTAGACTCTTTGGATTTTATAGAGACAGAATTGTATCATCTGTAAACAGGGACAAGTTGACTTCCTTTCTTCACATTCATGTGCCTGTTATTTCTTTACATTGCCTACTTTTCTAGCTAAGACTTCCAGCATTATGTTGAAAGCAAGGGTGGTAAGGGTGGACATCCTTTTCTTTCCCAGATCTTAGAAGAAAATTGCAGGCTTGCCATGCATAATGATGTTGGTTGTGATTTTCTTGTGTACAACCTTTATGTCGGAGGTATATTCCTTCTATACCTATTTCATCCAGGGATTTCTATCTTAAAAGGATGTTGAATTTTATTAAATGCTTTTTTCTATATATACCATATTAAGATAATATTTTTTCCTTCATTTTGTTGATGCAATATATTGCATTTATTGACTTGTATGTATTAAACCATCATTATATCTCTGGGATAAATTCTACTTGATCATGATATACTCTTAGATTTGGGTTGCTAGTAATTTGTTGAAAAGTTTTGCATCTATATTTACTAGAGATACCCAACTATAGTTTCTTTGGTGTCAGTAATAGAGAGCCTCACAGAATGAGTTTAGAAAAATTCCCTCCAGTCAAGGGTTTGGAATAGTGTGAAAATACCAGTATCAGTTCTTCCTTAAGAGATAGATAGAATCCAGCAGCAAAACCATCTAGACTTGGATTTAGAAAAATTCCCTCCAGTCAAGGGTTTGGAATAGTGTGAAAATACCAGTATCAGTTCTTCCTTAAGAGATAGATAGAATCCAGCAGCAAAACCATCTAGACTTGGATTTCCTTAGTTGGGAATCTTTTCATTACTGACTCAATCTCATTAATAGTTATTGATCTGTTTAGATAAAGTCTTCATGGTTCAATTTTGTTAATTTATACTTGCCCAGAAATTTATCCAATTTTTCTTTTCTTTTTTTGGTACTGGGAATTGAACTCAGAACCTTGTGCTTGCCAGGCAGGTGCTTGTGTCCCTGAGCTATATACCCGGCCTTCCAATTTTTCTAAGTTTTTCAAATTATTAGTGTATACTTGTTCATAACTTTTTCTAGTTATTTTTTGTATTTCTAGCATTATCAATTCTAATTTCTCCTTCTTTGACTCTAATTCTATTTGCATATCTTTTCTATTAGTTTAGTTAAAGATCTGTTGATATTTGTCTTTTCAAAAAACCAACTCTTCATTTCACTCACCTTTTGTATTGTTGTGTGGGCTCTATTTTGTTTATTTCTTCTCTGACCTTTGTTATTTCTTACATTTTAGTAGTTTTCAGTTTGGTTTTGCCTTGAAAATTTCTTGAGATGCAATTAGGTTATTTACTTGAAATCTCTCTGTTTTTAAAAATGTAGGTGCTTATTACTATAAACTTCTTTCTTATTACTGTTTTTGGTCTATTTTACTTGTTTTGATATGTAGTATTTCTATTAGCATTTGCTTCAAGACATTTTAAAATTTCTTCAATAGCACATTGTTCATTCAGTAGCATGTTGTTGAGTCTGCCTGAATTTGTGAAATTTCTTTTCTTATTTATTTAAATTTTATTCCATTGTGGTCAGAAAAAAATACATTACATGATTTTGATTCTTTAAAATTTGTTGAGACTTGTTTTGTCAGCTAACACAGGGTCCACTCTAGAGAATGTTTCATATGCTGTTGAAAATAATATATCTTCTTCAGCAGTTGGATGAATTGTTCTTTAAATGTCTGGTAGGCTCATTTGATCTATAGTTCAGTTTAACTTGATCTATAGTTAAGTTTCTTTGTTGATTTTTCTGAGGGGGGGAGGTTTTGATGATCTATTAATGAAAATGGAGTGGTAAAATCTCCCACTATTATACTGAGTCCACTCTCCCTGTAGTCCAATCATGTTTGTTTTATAAAATTGGGTGCTCAAGCATTAGTTGCATATACATTTACAATTGTTATGTCTTTTTCTTGAATTCATTCCTTGGTCATTAATGGTTTTGTCACTTTTTACAGTTTTTGCCCTTAGGTCTATTTTGTGTGACAGAAGAACAGCTATTCCTACTCACTTATGAAATATCATTTGGTGTTCAGTCTCTGTGTGTCTTTATTGGTGAAGTGAATTTCCTGTAGGCAGCATATCATTGAGTCTTGTTTTTGTATCTATTCCACCAGTCCATATCTTTTAATAGGGGAATTAAGTCCATTTACATCCCAGATTGTTACTGATAAGGACTCATTCCTCATAATGGTTAGTGTTCTCTAGAGAAACAGATTCAATATAAAGTATATGAGGGGCTGGGGATTTAGCTCAGTGGCAAAGTGCCTGCCTGGCAAGTGCAAGGTCGTGAGTTTGGTTCCTGGTACCGGAGAAAAACCAAAACCAAAAAAAAAAAAAGTATATGAATCTAGGATTTATATGAACAAGGGATTTATTAGGTAAGCTTACAGGCTCAGAAGTAAAAGAATCCCAGTGGCCATCTGCCAGAGCAGAGGTGGAAGAATCCAAAATGACTGTCTTTATGCTAAAGAGCTGGAGGATCCAGCAGCAGTCAAAGGTTGACTACAGAGTCACCAGTATGAGTCCTTGTCAAAAGGCTGAAGAGTCTGCACTGTAAGGTTGAAGAGTCTGTGATGGAAGAATGAGGGAACTGGAGACCAACATCCAATTGCAGTGGTGAAGACTGGAGCTCCTCCAATAAAAAGGAGATGACTTCCTTCTTCTTTCTCTTTTTATTCCACCCAAGTTATAAGCCTATTTGTTGGTGCCACCTACATCTGGAGTGGTTCTTTCCCCTTCAGTTTGCTGGTCTGTATGTGAATCATCCACAGACACACCTATAACTTACTAATCTGCTAGGCAGTTCTTCTTCAAGTCAAGTTGACACATCACAGTTAACCTTCACAGTCCTGTCATCTTCATTACATTTTTTTTTTTTTGGAACCAGGAATCAAACTTAGGGCCTTATGCTTGTCAGGCAGGCACCTTGCCGCTGAGCTATATCCCCAGTCCTATGTCATCTTCTAAAGTTATTTCTGTTTGTTTTGAATATCTTTTGTTCTATTCTTCCTCCTTTATTGTCTATGTTTGCAGTTTATTGTATTGGTAAGGTTTGATTCTTTTTAGTTGTTTTGCTATGTCTGCTTTTCCAGTGCATTTTATACATACATGTGTTTTCATGATGGTGGTTGTCTTTTGCCTTTGCATACAAGTAGGACTCCTTTAAGCAACTTTTGTTAAGCTAGTCTAGTGGGGATGGATTCCCTCAGTTTTTGCTTGACTTGAGGTCTTTATTTTTCTTTTATTTCTGAAGGATAGCTTTGTTGAGTGTTGGATTTTGATAGTTATTTTCTTTCAGAATTTGGTATATTTAATCTCATTCCCTCCTAGCCTATAGGGTTTCTACTTAGAAATCTGCTGTTAGTCTAATGAGGATTTCTTTAAATATCATTTGGTACTTTTCTCTTGCAGTTTTTAGAATTCCGTCTTTATCTTGTGCTTTTGATGGTTTGACTATGGTGAGGATCTTCTCTGGGCATGTCTACTTTGAGTCCTACTGGAGATATATATTTCAAGATTGGGAATAGTTTCAGGTATTACTTCACTGAATAGATTTTCTATTCCTCCTTCTTGTTTTCTTCCTTCAAGTTCTCTGAAAGTGTGAATATTTGTTTAATCATGTTCCAATGTTCTCAGGGGGTGTCTTTTCTTTTTCCTGCTCTTCCTCCACCTGTCCCTCCTCCTCCTTTTCTTTAACTGACCAGGTTACTTCAAAAGACCTGTATTTAAATTCACATATTCTTTACTCTGCTTGTTGCATTTTGTTGTTGAGACTTTCAACTGTATTTTTAAAATTTGTCTTATTGAGTTCTTCATTTCTAAGATTTCTCTTTGGTTGTTTTCCAGGGTCTCTGTCTTTGCTGAATATTTTATTGTTTTCCTAATTTCATTTAACAATCTATATCCTCTTGTGTCTCATTGAGTTTCCTTATAAACATTCTTTTAGCTTCTCTATCAGGTGTTTAATTAATATAGTCTATTTTTTGAGTATATATGCTACCGAAGTGAGCACAATATAGTATTTTTAAAATCTGTGGTTAGAGAATCATTCCTTTGAAAGCAGCCTTCCAGATCTTTGGGGAGTTGTTAACACATCTTATTTCTTTTTTCACCCCTTTAAAATTTCTTTCCATGATGTTTTATAGTTTTTGAGTAGAAGTTTTGTAGTTTTTTTGTTAACTTTATTCCTATTCTTTTTCCTAAGTACTTCTGATGCTATTATAAATGGGATTACTTTTCTTTTGTGTTGTTCATTGTTAATGTATAGAAATAAATCAATGTTTGCATATTGCATATCGATCTTGTGTCCTAAAATTCTCTATATTTATTTATTAACTCTAATTTTTGTTGGTGGGTTTTTTCCCTTTTGGGGTGTGTGTGTGTTTGTGTGTGTGTGTGTGTGTGTGTGTGTGTGTGTCTGTGTTTGTGTGTGTGTATTCCCCAGGATGTTCTATGTATAAGACCATGTCACTGGCAAAGACATAGAGATTTACTTCTCCCTTTCTAATGTTTATGTATTTTATTTCTTTTGCTTGTTTTAAATGTCCCAGCTAGAATACACAGCAGACTTTGAGTAAAAATGGCAAGTAGAAACATTTTTGTCTTGTTCTTTGTCTTAGAATAAATTATCTATTTTTTTCACTGTGGAGTATGATGTTAGCTATAGAATTTTCATAGAGGCCTTTCATTACATTGAAGAAATTTCCTTCTACTCCTACAGAGTCTTTTGAAGTCCTCCCTCACTGCTGAGAGATGAAGGGTGTCACAGTGATTATAGCAGCTCCCCAGTAGGCATCAAAGATGTCAAAGTACTTCTATATGTGGCAAGAATACTTCCTGCTTATTTTCTAACTGATTGTAGTTTCACACCAACTTCTCACAGCAGTAGGGAAGGTTCCTGGGCACTTTTGTGTTTGAATACCTTCTTTTTTTAAGCTACAAAAATGGTAAAACCACCGTGTATGGTTTCCCTCCTGTCAGGTGTGCTGCAAGGGCAAAAGTCAAAGAAGTGGTTCTGAGAAAGAGGTCAGCTGCTCAAGTCCTGACTGTGCCAACTGGACTGGCCTGGACTGGCTGTGTCAGCCCTGGACTCAGCACATTCTACACGGGATTCCAGGAATGAAACCATGAGGAATCCCCGCCGGTGCTAAGCTTAAACTCTGTGATCCTAATTAAGTGGAAAATGAACATAGATTGCAATGTTAGGCGCATCACTGCTTGTAACTTCAGTTAAAATTCTAATTCTCACACTAGAATTTCACAAAACTGCTGCTGTCTTCCCTATGCTACTAGCCTGAAGCATTTTGCCACAAACTCAGGGAAGAAATTTCTCTGTACTTCTTTTTCTTCTGTCTATTTCCCTTTCTGTTATCACCATTTATCCCTGTTTTCCCCCCGCAAAAGGAGAATCGCAACATACACGAGTTGATGAGATCTGGCCCCATCCCCTACTCTAAACTTAACTGCATGCTTAAATCACCCTTAACCCAAGCCTTATCTTTACCCTGACCCTAATAGGTATCCTAATACTAATCCCAATCCTTACATTACATACAGCCTTAACCCCAACCTGGTATAACATCCTTCCTGAAACAGATGTTTTTTTCAGCAACTTTGAGAGTGGCATAGCTTATGCTTGCTCCCTCCACACCTCTGTCCTTTCTTCTTCCTTTTCTTAACACTCCTTCCTCACCACATCCCCAGAGAGCCATGCCAGCCGAGACCCTCCCTAGATAGAAACTACTATCAAATCTCTTCCCATTTTTCTTGAGTTAGTGATGAGCCCAAAGATTAAGTGGAGTGTTCCTTGACTATAATGGTAGAAGAGGACTTGTGTGCTCTGTGTGTGTGTGTGTGTGTGTGTGTGTGTATGTTGGGGAGATATTAAATGAAGAGAAGAAGCTCCATAACCTCTGGAAGCTTTTTACAAGGGTGCAGTAACTTAGAAGCCCAAACTAAAGTGGTTCATCTCATCTCTTTCCCTGTAACCTGCCACCTCAGCTCCCCCGTGGCATATTGGAATGGGGCAGGTTTGTCATATGGTGTCAGAGTTGATGCTGCTTGCAAGACCTACCGTTCCTCATTTGTAGCGTGCAGCAAGGCCTTCCTTGTATGGGGGCATCACTGCCACTCTCGGGACTCCCTGGAGGAAGGAAAGTGCTGTGCCCTAGGGGGTGCATGCCCATTTCTCTCCCCCTTTGCCTACCATTTTTACTTCTCGACATGCGGAGCACAGCCACTTGTTTCTGAGCAACCAGGGGTCACTCTGGTTCCTTCCATCCTGAAGGGAAAGACACAAACAGAGACAGGTGAGGAAATGCTGAGGTGCCTGGGGCAGCAAAGGAGTGGAGATTGGAGATGTGGGTGGGGGACCTGTGAGACAGGTAATGGTTTTTCCTTCCACGACACAAAGAGGGGCACCATGATCTCATCCCCCTGCAGGGTGGTTGTTGAATTTCAGGATTTGCTGCAGTTGGTAGAGTCAGCAGGGCTTAGTAGGAGGCAGTGACCATAGATGAGCCAACAGTTCTAGGGCTGCTGTATAGAGTGACACAGGTATAAGGACAGCTGGCACAGGGGGATAGAGCTAGGGCTGGGAGCTGACGTGCAATGGGGTCTCTGCTTTCAAATCAGGTTGGAAAGCACCTGTGGCTGAGGAACTGTATTCTCCCACAGGTGGCAAGTGGTTCCCATTTTACATAAAACCTCCAATGAGTAGGCTGGCTGAGGACCACTGAAGGCTGAGGAATGAATAAAACACTTCTCTTCTGCAAACCTCCAACCCCTTGACTCTGGCTCAACATCAGCTCTCGAGCATCCACAGGCCTTTCTGCTCCTCCTGAGAGCCATGCATTACAGCCCCAGAAGAAATGGAGCTGACACACTGTGGAGTCCACACTCTTCCCCATGGAGGAGAGGCTGCCTCAGGGTGGGAGGCAATGACTGGTGGAGGAGAGTGGAGAGAGGCTGTCTCTTCACGGAAATCACTTTCCTTTTCACTTCATCTCCAAAAAAGGGTGAGAGGGAAGACTTCGGGGCATTTACTCCTGGAACACAAAGCTCTCCCTCGCATATTGGCAAAAGGTTTGATTATGGAGCAAGTGGAAACTTCAGGTTAACATTATATTTGGAGATTCTCTCTTACCACCCTTCATGCCGACTAATAGAGTCATGAGAAATGTTTGTAAAAAAGCATAGAAAATAGGGATGAGGAACTCCACAGTGGGGAGCAAATGACAACTACCAAAACAGGACTTCTTCCAATCAACTGGTTTGTTAGCCTGGCCGTAGATGTGTGCCCTGACCCATTCCTGCTGTCCTGGAAAGTGTGGGAAACAGGAAGAGGAGGACTATATCTCTGCAGCGTGAGTGCTTAGGGTATTTTCCAAAGGCGACATTTGCTGTATTGATTGCAAGTCGTTTTTGTCCCGTGAGAGACATATGGCACTTAGGATTTGGGGACTATTGACAATGTTGGATTCTTTTGACAAATATTTAAAATATACTTCATTTTTACAGGGCATTGAAAAGAATCAACCCAGTATTACAGCGTTGTGGGCTGGTATGTTAAAGTGTGAGTATGAATGACTAGACTCATTCATTTAACAACAAACATTTATTGTGAGGCCACCATGTGGAGGGTGCTGTGATGGTGTCACACAGATGGATAAGACAAAGTTTCGGGCCCTAAGGAAGATGAGAGAAGAATACAAATCTATTCATTTGTATTTTTTTAGTTACACTGAGATAAAGAAGAAACAGCTACTGACCTCAAGCTGCTCACCGTCCAGCAGTTTGTGTACCAAGAACTATGATGGAGTTAAAGGTACAATGAGAGAAATGTTTTCAAGCCACAGGGAAACTGAAGAGAGTTTTGAGCTCACTTGGGGGCGGGGCAGAAGGGAAAGGGTCTGAGAAACATTAAAGAGCAGGCAAGGTTAGGTAAGTGTGTGGGGGGTGAACAAAGAGAGTGCAGGGCATTTCATGGCCAAGAAACACGTTGCAACACCAAGAAATAATAGCTGAGCAATCAGCTTCTGGTAACTAAGGCTGGGTTGGAAGGGCCAGGTCATGTGGTAGGAAAAGTAGGGTGAGAAGGGGACTAGACAGGAAGTGTCTCTCTGTGTGGACTTCAACTTCCTTCTATGCCTTCCCTGATATCTTGGAGTGGTATCCAATGCAACCCCAGCTTCTCTTTCCTTCCCTCACATTTCTGAGGTCTGAGACAGATACTTCACTAAAATTGCCATCCAAAGTTGTATGCACTGGGTGTCACAGAAGCAGCAATATCTACGGGGTCTTAGAAAGGAGACAGAGTACTTTTTACTGGAGGAAGGAGGAAGGGGTTGCCGGAAATGACATTTATACTCTATCTGATGAGAGTTATTTAAGAGCAAGAACCTTATCTTATTCAGCAAAATTTTCTCATCTGTATTCTACCTTATTAAACTGGAACAACAAACACTGACCAACAAATGTGCAGATGTTCAAACTCATTCATTCAACAAATGTTAGTTGAATGAATGGATCACTGTAGGGATTTTAAATGAATGGGTAGAAATATAGTATATATCACAATTTGAATGTGTTTGCAAAGGTCACCATTACAATACTGCCTCCAGGTAAACATTACAGAGTATTAGTGTTGTCATACGACAAATCCATTCCTCATAAAGTGCTGGGAAGAGCCCAGGCTGAGATCCAAAGGGCTCTGCTGCAGACCCAGCTCTTCCCGAGTGACTTCCGGTCAATATATAACTATTTGGGCTTCCCCTTCCCTACTGATCGTGTCTGTGGCCAAAAAGACAGAGGCAGACATGCTAATCATGCCTCCTTTTCACATGTGGACTGAAAGCCAGTCTTTGATGTGTGCTCAGACTACCAGCTAAGGCCCTGCATCCGAGGAGAGCTATTCCATTTCTCTTTATTTGGAGGAGAGGCATGGAATGTGGCTGTGATAGGCAAGTCCACAGTTGATGAAAATGATTCGAGCTTCCATGTTCTGTAGGACTCATTTCCTCTATTCTGTTTAGCTTTTTTCTCAACCCTGGGGAAAAATTATTTTCCTGTTGCACTATTTCCTACTCCAAGTTTTCATAATCCAGCTTAGTAGCAGTAGCAAGAATGGACAATGAATGGGCCAAATTTACAGCCGAGCCCCTGCTTATATTATCTCTACAGTCAGAGGTGCTAAAATGTTAATGGGGCTCTCACTTCCTGAGCAGCTGTCCTCAGGACAGCAGATTGGGCTTGGGACAGGAGAGGGACAGCAACCTGTTTATAGCATACTCGAGGTGTGATGCAGATTCCAGCCTCTCCACAGAAGTCAAAGTCTGCTCTTCATGGTTCATAACTGGAAACACCTTAAGACCATATCTTCTGCGGTTCATAAGGCTGGCTCATGGCTCAAGTCCATAGCCTTCTTAAAGCCTTGATAAAGAAACTTCTCCTCCCGCCTCCCTCCTCTCCTCTCCCCTCCCCCTCTTCTTTCTGCTCTCTCACCTGTTCACATAACAAAAAATGAAAATGTAAGCACCAGATGGTCATTTTAAAAATAGACATCAACAGCATGATTTGAGGAGCACTAACAAATTTGCCTCTGTCTTTGCCCTTTAACATTTCTATTTCTTTTGCTCCCTTCTACCCTGACTTAACTGGTTTAACTCTCAAATACCCAGTGAAGAGATTGTGAACCAGGAAGGTGAAGAGATCTGTCCAATAACATGTCCAGTTAGTTTCAGTAGACTGGAAAGTTTTAGATGAAGGTTCAAAGACAGATTTTAGAGAAAATGCGACCGTTAGAATCCATATGAAGTTATAATTACTCCTATATGCCTTAGTGTCCAAAAGGTAATGGTCAAAGAACTATTTTCAATATTCAAAAAAACCCCACATATAACAATTATAGCTTTTCCTTTTACCAGCAATTTTCAGAAATTGCTGAAAATACCAGCAATTTCTATGAAAGAATGGAGCTGAATACAGTTTCAAAACTGCTCTTACTATTCACTAGAAAAGAATTTAAGCATGTTCAAAATAGTAGACATCCATCCATCTCTAGACTTTTTAAACTTAGGTTTTATTACCATCACTATTTCAGGTCAATGGTGTTCGTTATTCTCTTTTAAAATTGTACTTGCAGTTCCATGTGTTTGTTCCATATGAAGAAGAAAAGGACTTAGGAGTCTATGGGGTAATTTCCTTGGTAGTCATGAGCTTTCAAACTTTAGGGTCAATGGGAGAGAAATAGTGGGTCCGTGAGAAAATAGGAGATCACCATCCTATATGTTTTCCCAGCTACACCACTGCTATTGCACAATCTTTTCAGCCCAGGCTTTTTGCCATAGGTCTGCCAGAAGCAAATGTTCTCATCTGTAGCCTGCCTCATTAAACTGGAACAACAAACACTGACTTTGAGCAGCTTTGACTAGTTTACACCCAACCCCAGCAAGTAGGCAAAGCAGTTTTGGGTCTCCAAGAGCAGTTGCACATTTCCACTGCTGCCTCGCTGGCTGGCTGAGTCACCTCTTGGCACAATTCCCTAACAATTATGATGCGCCATCCCATTTTATGGCATGGTGAGAAGTCGTGGGTCAGTGCTTGGACATGGCACGTGAATGTGGTCCTTAATGAAAAAGCCCCTGGCAGGAAAATGACAAAAATTTTAGACTTTTTTTTATTGTTTCATTTAAAACTTTTCACCTTTGTTATCTGTACATCCTTTGTTTCTCTTTTGGGGCCCAGCTCCCCTGTATCTCACTTGCTGTCTGTTTCTTCTCTGTCTGTCCCTTAGAGAATGCTGCTCCAGGCACACGTGCTCCTGCGTCAGGGAAGAAAACCACCTGGAATGTGTGTGTTCCAAGCTCTGCCCTTTGCCCCGTGACTGTGAAGGGGAAGGGAGCCAGGTGGCAGGACCTTTGTGCTGTACACAGGGGCCAGGGGCCCTGGGTGGCTGCAGGGTGACCAACAGCCTCTTGGCAGGTCCCAATTTAGAGCATAGAGGGAGAGATAGTGTCCACGGTGCATTCCACTACCATGAGGCACAACATAGTTTCTTTCTGGAAAGGAGCAGCTGCTGGCTGAGCCCGTGTTCTCCTCACAGCACACATGTGCGGGGCTTTGTGCTTGCAGCAGATTGGGAGATCAGATTCAGATCTGAGGAGGTCTCTGTGAGAAGCAAGAACCTAACCTGCTGCCTCAACAGAACAAAGGTCCCAGGTTTCCTACCTGCCTTTCCACTCTGCAAGGGCAACTCTTTCTCATACACAAACCAGTGGAGGGTCAGTCCTCATAGGATGAGGGTGAAGGTAGGGGGACCGTGTTCTCTTCCAGCAGGAGCAATGCGTTTATAACAGGGCTTATTGGCCAAGCAGCTGTTGCTCTTGACTGTTACCTAGTGGCCATCCATGAATATTGCAGTCATAAAATACTAAATTCAGCTGGCGGTGGTGGTGAATGTATGGCATGTGTGTTAATTGTTTTTCTTTTAAGATAAAAGATGTTAATGCGTGAGCTGTGTTTTCTAACTAAAACTTCAGTACTTAGTGTTGGTACTTTGTGATAAATAAGCAGGTCTCTGGTTGCATTTTGGGCACTCTTCCCTAAAATATTTGCCATTACTGAGAGCAAGGCCTCTCTTTCCCCCCAGTCATTATTAATGCTTTATTTTCCCTCACTCTCTGTCCCAGCCAACTTGGCATTTGGTGTTTTAGTGCCTTGGTTTCTGCATGCAGACCTGGAGCAAACATAGGACAAGCAGGTAGTTGGCAGCTTGTCTAAGTAGGAAGTCTAGAGACCAGCTGTGAGGCTTATTGCTGGTTCATAGCAATGCCAAGCCAATCCCTTCACCTGGAGCATGTCATGGTGGCCACTGTTACCTACTTGCTTGCCCATGGTGGATTAATAGGTGATCTTTAGGCATGGCTTAGGTTCTAACACTGCAGCATTGACAACCCAGGGCATTGTTTGAGGCCTCTGAATCTTTCCCTTAGTCCATCTCTGCTCACCTGTTTCCCAACCTGGGACCTTTCCTCCCACCTTCTGTTACAAGTGCTTTGTCCTCTCTCTGATGCTCCTGAAGCCATCCTGTCCCTTTGTCATCTGCCCCCGCATTTTTTAGGCTGAAGGTGAATTACTCAACTTGGACTTATATTAAAGCAAACAGAAAGAGACAGTAAGCATCACTGGACTGGCATCAGGGCTCCAAAGCACATTTACTGAACTCTTCAGACATGTTGGACACAGGGCCAGGTGCTGAGGCAATGCTGTGCTGGGCACTGCTCAAAACAGGCCACTGAGAAACCTGGGATTTTCCAGGTCAAAAAAAGAGCTTATATTTGGAGTGCCATCCCTGCCCCCAACCTCAGTGAGGTGCTGACTGCACAAGCACCACCAGGATCTCAGAAACTCCGGTGCACACAGTGAGCCAGTGAGCTTTATCCATTACTCAGCAGCCCATTGTGGTTGGTTTCTGTGAGGTGGATAGGAAAGAATTTCCGATGCAAAATTCCATAGGTGTAAGGATATGCAGGTGGGAGAGATAAATAATTGATGGGAAGGAGGTGGTTAGAAACCTAGGAATAACCTAGTTACAGATTGAAGCAGTCTCCAAAGGTCTTGGGACCAATTCCTCCATATTTAATGCTTGGTTTTCCTTTTTGCTGACTCTAACCTTATTCCTTTATTCTTTATTCTTTGCAATGAATTCCTAGGCATTTGAGACAAGAGTGAGGGGCTGATGCCCATTCATTTCATTCAACAAATACTTACTGAGCACTGAAACTATACCAGGCTCAGGGCAGTGCTAAGAAAAGAGGAAGTGCTTTCACATCCTATGTCATTTTACAACTGCTGTTAACTTCATGTCAATTAAAAAAGATTGAGTACCTTAGATGAGACATCTGGACCTTGAAATGAAGTAGGTGAATTCATGTGCCTCCTCCACGAGGTCAGAAAAGCAGCAGAGGAGTGAGATCTAAGCAATCAAAGCAAGAGAAAGTCAGAACCGCAACCCTCAGTTACAGAGCGAAGCCCCTGTTTATTTCAGAGAGAACCCAAGGACACCGCTGGAGCTGCCTCCTACTCCAGTGCTGGAAATCTCATGCCTTCAATGGGCTCCTAAAAGACAGCATTGTCCTCCTTCATCACTTTGGATCCTCACTTCTTGTTTGTTTGTTTGTTTGTTTTTTCTGGACTAACCAATGACAGGTCTAGACTGTCAACAGTGTACAATAAGGCAGGAAAAAGATCATTCATAAATACACAAGTGAATAGTGAAATGCACCCCAGGTATCTTTGAAAAGACCTGCGCTGACTGACATTCTTGGTATTTCATTTGTGGCTGTCCTTTCAGGCCTGACACTTGTGTCCCTGTACACTGAAACAATCCTATCTGTTTCCTCACACGGCAAGGCACATCTTCTCTCTAAGCACTATTCCTATCAAGAATTCTCTTGTTAGCAGGTGACATGGGGGTTGTCCTCGGCAGTCCCAACCCTCTTCACAGGACGGCCTACCTGTGCTCTGCCCCCCTAGTCACTGACATACATTTTATTACAGCGTAAGCAGCCAAGGCCTGCAGGGACTGGGTGATCACCCTGCCTGCGTGTGCAACACTGTACATGCTCCTGGCAACCAACAAATGGAAACTTGGGGTGCTGGGGGCTTTGCAGGAACACTGCTCCTTTCTACCGAGGAGAGGTTTCATTGTTCATTGTTCATTTTTCATGTAATGCAAAGGCACGTGAAAGGAGCTTGGTGTTCGTAATGCAATCACTGCTTCATTTCTCCTCCATGTCCCTTGCCACCTGGGCTTCACAAAGAGAGGAGAATCTTTCTCCAGCTCCTTCAGCAGACCTTGTCTTCGACATAGAATGGGCTGCCTTGTATATGGCACCCCAGTGCTGCCCAGGACACACACCAGGCACAGCCATGTCACATAGACGGGACTCTGTGACCGAAAGGGCTTGGGAAGCGGATGATGAGCATAGCTTCAACACAGTCAGGCCAAGCTGGGAGAGTCCCGCTCGAGGGAAACACAGGTATCTCCGAAGCTCCCAGCTGGGGTACTCTGAACACGCATCACCAAATGTTTCTTTATTTATTGCAGGCAGTTCTGTTCGTGCTGGGCCAAGGCTTTGTATTACTTGGAGCACACGGAGAACTCTCCTCCAAGGTCTCAGAAAAGGGTTTTGCCAAAAAGGTACAGTTTGGGACCCACAGATTTGCATAGAGGAGCAATTTCTAAGCCTTAAGAATTGTCCTTTCTTTCCCAAGGACTCTCCTGTCCTGTCCCCTGAGAGCTCAGGGCACAGGTGCTGCCCAGCCATCTTGGAATTCCTGTCAGTAGGCTCCATTTCTCTAAACATGGGTTGAATCTGAAGCAGAGAAATAAGCAAACTTTTACTGCCCACCTTAGGTAATTTCTCCTCCCACAACACTGCCTTGCTTTGTCCCGCTAGAAGAAAACCTGTCCTCTCCCCAGCTGCTGGCCATAGACTGTCCTCTCTGACACTCCAGAGAGTGTGAAGGAGAACAGGTGTTGGGGATGCACTGTGAAGGAGAACAGGTGTGAAGGAGAACAGGTGTTGGGGATGCACAGCTGTGTCCTGCACCCGTCTTTCTCAAACCCTTCCCCGCGCCATGCTCTCCACCTTGTACCGATATAATCAGAGAACTTATATAATTAAAGAATGCATACAATTAGAGAGCAAGGGGCTAAAAGCAAGAGAAGTGTGCACAAGGATGCTTTTTGCTCCTGGCTGTAGGAAAAGGTCTAATGAGGGTAGTGTGGGACGGTGGGAGGTTAGCCTATTCGATGTCAAATACTAGCAGTTTCACATTTAATAATTCAAGATTTCTGGGTGGCAATCCAGCTGACTTGGCCTCTGGACTCGCATACCGACAGGCACACTGGCTGGGGCAGAGGGTAGGCTATGAATCACCTTTCGTCAGGGGATGATTGCCCAGTCATTGAGGACTCTCTCTGGCCAGTTCTCTTCATTATGCCACCCACTTCGCTGTCATCAGCATGTGAGTTTGTGCCCCATGCTCAATTAAAGATGCCAAGCTGACATGATTCATGCTGACTTCTGAAGTATTAATAACTCTTAATGAGAACTATATTTGTGTTTTCATTTCCTAAGCAAGGCTCTGGGTTTAATGAACCTCTAATTGTCTGTTTTAGATATATTCAAAGATATGTAAGAAAAAAAAAAGAAACGAACATTATGGACTTGTGCATTTACTCTGGAAATACACAAAACTGTTTACTGAGATTGTGGTGTTTTAAAGTGGAGCAAACCGAACAAAGGTTGTGTGTCACTGAAGCAGGAATGCCCTGGACAGAGGGATGGGATGTTCCTTATGGAGAGCACGTATCCATTGGCAGGAGGGAAGGTGGCATTTACCAACAGGAATTAAGACTCTTGGAGATCTTTCTAGCAAGCTGCCCCATATGCCAGGGAGGTGACCATTTCTAGCCTGTTCTTGGTTTTTTTCCGGTACCTGGAATCAAACTCACGACCTTGCGCTTGCCAGACAGGCACTGTGCCGCTGAGCTAAATCCCCAGCCCCTCTAGCCTGTTCTGTGCCTATGAAATTGCAACTGGACCTGCCTTTCCCCCGACCTTCTCCTGGGATCTTCTCCCGGTTTTTCCCTATTCCCACCTTTCTTTTATTTTTCCAAAGCAGGGTATATCAGTTCACCAAGGGACCATTTCATCAAAAAAAATGGGGAGAAGCGAGGAAGCCTAGTTATTTCAAGTGGAAGCTGAAATGTTCCTACACACAAATTCCTCCAATTTAGCAAAACAGAAATATGTGTTTTATATCACTTTGATTAGAAGAGGCAGGACAGATGAGACTGGAGGAGACTCTCATGTTACACTCGGGGAAGTTTACACTATAAAGATGGGAAGTTACAGACTTCTGATTGTTAAAATGTGAAATTTCAAACTAAAGCAAAGGAGAAAAAGAGGGTGAAGACGGTGGAAGGGTATTTTGAGAGGGAGTGTCTAGGGGCAAATTCTTCCTGTGTTGTTGAGCAGTGGGGGTTCACAGGAAGGTTATTTGGGGGTCTCATCTCCTCCAGCCAAACCTATTCTCAGAGTTTACCTTTGTCTGAGATTTCAGGACATTTGTGTTTTTTGAGTACCTGATTTTGTTTCTCAGTTAATCAGATGCACCCCTCTGAAAACTGCCCCCTCCTTAGGAAAATATGTGAGACCTTTCTTGAAAGCTTTGTCTTCAGTGGTTGAGCCATTACCTGTTTGGGAGACTGATCACTAGCGGCTTGTTAGTGAGGCTGGCCTCACTAAGCCAAGGGACCTTGTCAAATTTTGGAACAGCAGCCTAAGGAGAAATGGAAAGAGGTCATTTTCCAGATTTTATCAAACTTGACCGTTGCTATCATGATGACTAAAATCAGCTAATAGCAGCCATTAGTAGTCCACACTCTACAAAACATTTTTACATTTTACTCTTCTATCCATCCCATAAAATAGCCAAGCACAAATAAGAGTTGTCTCCATTTTAAAGATGAAGAAATTACAGCTCTGATCACGTGGACTGCCCTGAGTAAATGGGCTCGCATTTTCTGGCTTTTGCGTCCGCTATAGCCTGTGCTCACTATCTCCCTTTGCTTCTTTATTATTTCCATCTGTTACATCCGGTAGTGCTTCCATGAATTTAGCTGAGTGTAAGCAATCTCTCGTTCCTACCTGTGATTTCACCTCCATCTTATTAAGGAGGGAAACTTTAGGAAGGAAGAAAGCTTTGAACCCATAGACAGCTGGGTGCTATTGATCTCGGATCACCCACTTTCCAGTTAGGCAGATTAGCACCTTCCGATGATGGCATCACGGCAAAAGTCACCGCACAAGAAATAAAGCGCCAGGAGAGCTGGGAGTTTTGTTGGTGTTGTTCACTGCTGTAGCCTGCGAGCAAAAGCAGGGCTTGACACCTGCACATTCTGGGTGTCTGTCCAAGGAACAATAGATGCAGGGGAAGTCGTTAGCTGAGGGCCTGACTTCATAGTAAGAGTTTAACAAAATGCTGTTGCTATCTCTCTTCTGTCAGCTCAGCCTCCGTGCCTGTCTGGTGCTTTTCTCAGCTCTTCCGCTGGCCCACCGGCTCCTTTCTTTCCCTCAGGGAATTGCTTTTCCCAGGTTCGGAGTGGCGTGTGGGAGCCAAGCAGCCGGTAGGGGGCAGCAGCGCGCTCGCCCTGCCCGCTGGCGGAAGGGCGCTCTGGCCGCGGGTTGAGCCGCACCGGAAGTTCTCGGCCGCGGTCACCACCCGGGTGCCCGGGTAGGGAAGGAGGCGGGGCTGCCGCTGTCGCCCGCCGGAGCGCCGCCGGGCCCAGGGCAGGTGGGTGTGAGTGGGCGCGTTTCCGGGCCCCCTCCTCTCCGTCCCGGGTGACCCACCTTGGACGGGGCACGCGGCGGGCAGGGAGCCCCGCAGAGAGTGGGGCGCCCCTGGGGCAGGCCAGCCCTGTAGGTCGCGAGCCCGAGGGCGCGCGCGGCGCCCTGTCAGCCGCGGCCGGGTCCCTGCTGTCCCTTCTGCTATTTGGTGGAGGGAAAAGCTTTCTGGTTCCCCGGGGCTTCCCGGGCGTCTGCACGGTGGAAATCGGGTCCGGCAGTAAGACCTTGTGTGGGTCACATTTGCTGGATGACACCGGCGTTTCTCACTGTAGTTCTCGCTTTGTGAAAAAGGGACCATGGTCTTCTTCGATCTCATCATATTTTCGCTGCCTTAAGTAGGATAACTCTTTAAAAAGATGGCAAGCTCAGTTAACGGATGAATAGTCTTCTTTGAGCCCATGACTTTGGCTAAACGGTAGAACTCATCCCTTTTTACCTTAATCCAGTGATTTAAAAAAACCAGCTGTCTTTGAGCACTTAATAAAAGCTATGGACTCTGCCCCTATAAATTTGCATAGGTTGCAGCAGCACATACCTTGGGTGTGTGCACCCTGTCACTGAGGCTGACAGGCTTTGTGATTAGACTTTGGTTTGAGTCCTAGCCCCGCCATTTACTACTCTTGTTACTTGGGCCAAGAATACCTAAGCAGTTTGCATTAACCGTGGACTAGTTAAGATGGGACTAATTTATACCAACTTGCAAAGCTGTGGAAATTACGTTAAAAAATGCATAAGCCACTTAGCACATAGTAGGCAGCCAAGTGATAGCTAACAGATACCTATTCATGAAGACATTATAATTTTAACATGTGAAATACATAGGGGAACTGGAGGGGAAGAGAGGAGGGGGAGGAAAGGGAAAAGGGATTAAACAACAACAACAAAAAAGAAACAAGCTAGAATATGTACACGTAAGGACTCCCCATTATGATTGTAAACTGCATGATTGGAAACATGTACTAGGAAAATAAAAAAAGAATTACAGTCATTAAGCTTATCTAAGTCTGAATTTGCAAACAAAAAAAATACGAGATACAATTTTAGTGCTCCAAAGTGTAAGCTCCACCAAATGCATTTTATTTAGACTTCTAGTAAACTGAGGTGGTTTGATTTTTAACTGAATCCTACTCTTGACCTTTTACAACATTCATGTTCAGTAGTCACAAGTTTTTCTTTTCCTAGGAACTTGTATGTGTTGTGTTGCCTCAGAGAACAAACCTGTTTATCGCAAACCTCGCCTGGGTTGCTGCCCTTGAAAATGAAGACAGTCCAGTAGAATCCCAGCATGGAAATTCCAGAGAGGTCTTATTTCAAAACTTCATAAAGAACAAGAACCACATGGACTTTTCCAAGGTAGATTGACCTGGCTAAGTTGGAGAGAAGGGATAAAATAATGTGTGACCAAACTGTTACTAACACCGAGGAGGTCAAATGGCAGAAGGTGTTGTATAAGCGACAGCCCTTCCCTGATAACTATGTGGACCGCCGGTTCCTGGAGGAGCTCCGGAAAAACATTTATGCCCGGAAGTACCAGTACTGGGCTGTGGTCTTTGAGTCCAGTGTGGTGATACAACAGCTGTGCAGTGTCTGTGTTTTTGTGGTTATCTGGTGGTACATGGACGAGGGACTTTTGGCCCCTCATTGGCTTTTAGGGACTGGCCTGGCGTCTTCATTGATTGGGTATGTCCTGTTCGATCTCATTGACGGAGGTGAAGGGCGGCAGAAGAGTGGGCGGACCCGCTGGGCTGACCTGAAGAGTGCCCTGGTCTTCATTACTTTCACTTACGGTTTTTCACCAGTGCTGAAAACCCTGACAGAGTCTGTCAGCACAGACACCATCTACGCCATGTCAGTCTTTATGCTGTTAGGCCACCTCATCTTCTTTGACTATGGAGCCAATGCTGCCATCGTATCCAGCACACTGTCCTTGAACATGGCCATTTTTGCTTCTGTCTGCCTGGCCTCACGTCTACCCCGGTCCCTGCATGCCTTCATCATGGTCACGTTTGCCATCCAGATTTTTGCCCTATGGCCCATGTTACAGAAGAAACTGAAGGCGTGTACTCCCCGCAGCTACGTGGGGGTGACGCTGCTTTTTGCGTTCTCGGCCTTTGGAGGCCTGCTGTCCATCAGCGCTGTGGGGGCCGTACTCTTTGCCCTTCTGCTGTTTTCCATCTCGTGCCTCTGCCCTTTCTACCTCATTCGCCTGCAGCTTTTTAAGGAAAATATTCATGGACCTTGGGATGAAGCTGAAATCAAAGAAGACTTGTCCAGGTTCCTCAGCTAATTGAGGCACTTGCATGACAGTAAGGCAGGCTGATAGACCCGCATCCTGCCCGTGTAAAATGTGAAGGTGGGGTTCCATTCTGGAGGCGGGAGGCTGATGTGGGTTAGGGAACGGAGATGAAAAGGAAAGAAAATTAACCAAATGTGTGTGGTGAAGGTGCTTCTCTTCTCTGCTCTTTTGTGGATGGAAAAGCTTTCTGTTTCCTTCTTAAATTATCACCTCAAACAATTATTATTGTTTGCAGCAATAAATGAAGTGACATGGTTTCTACTTATTAAAAAAGTAACACATTCATCAAGTTGTCTGATGATTTCTCTGAAAGCAGAAGGCAGAGAGCAAAGGCATGAAAAGTGAAGAGAGAATGAAGAGTATGTGAGTGTGTGTGAAGGAGATCACTTCTGTGGCTTTTTCAGTGTACTAATTGGTTGGTCTGCAAGTAGACTATCAAGGAATTTAGAAACAGGTCGCAGAAACTAGATTAAACCAAAAGATATAAATCAGAGAGGAGGAAGAGGGGTAGAGACCAGAATGGGTAGAGACCAGAATGCAGCCTGGATGCCTCAAAGGTGTGACGTTGCCTGTGAAATTGTTAAGGATGTGTGTGAGGCCCTGAGTTTGATTCCCAGCACAGGAACAGTGCTGGGAATGGAGAGAGCAAATAGTGATTTGTTCAACAAGTAATGACTTGTAGGACAAGACACTAGAAATTTGAGCAGGGTAAGTTTAAGACAATACAGAATTGATGACATTTTCTGCATGTAACTCCGTGAAGTTTTACAGGCCAGGAATTATACAAAGCTTTAAGAAAAATTGCTAATAAATAAGCCATAAATGTTTTGTTATGCAACCCCAAGCCTTTAGATATTGCTGAGAGGATGATCTGTGGTAGGTGTCACTGGATTCGCACGGGTGCAGGAATTCGGGCCTAGAAAATGTTTGGTGTCCCCTAGTGTGACAGCTGCTGCGGGGTACTCACCACTTAAATTCAGCAAGCTGGTTAGTCTTTTTGTTTAAATCACACTGAAAGTTGCAAGTAGAATACTAACAATTTAGATTTGTGAAGAACATGTTTGGGGGGAATAAGGTGGAGAGGTTACAGTGACATAATTAAATCTCAACCTCTCAAATATCTACATCCATGCAGTGTGATCAAAACATAATAATGCTTAAAAATTTAAAATCATTGTAATAGAAGACATTTCCATTTATCCCCCTCAACACTCCCTGTTACTTTGAACACATCCCATTATTTTTGCCACTCTCTGAAGGAGTTCTAGAAGTTTTCTTGTGTCTACTCATGGCCACCTTGATGTCCCAAATTGATTGAAAATGTTTACGGTCATTTTCGTTGAATAAAATCTACAATGTGTCCTCATCCACCGTATTCACTGGATCTGGCACCGTCTGACTTCTGGCTCCGCCCCCAAATCAAAATGACCGTGAATGGTAAATATTTTCAATCCGTCGCGATGTGAGGCAGCTATTACAGCTCAAATTGCAGTCATTTATGAAAAAGAACTGCCAAAACTACTTCAGAAAGCATCAAGAACGTAAAATGTGTTTGAAGCGAGGGGGGATATTTTGAGGGGAGTAAGTGGCCCTGTGTCCTTACTGATAATAAATGTGTAACATTTACTCGGGGTACCTTGTGGCCACACCTCCTGTACACTGTCTGCCCTCCTCCCTCTGCATGCCGCCTCCCACCTCTGCGTCTTCAAGGAAATCAAGAGGAGGGGCCTGGGGCGGCAGCTTTGCCCATCCCCCTAGGTTGTGGCTGTTAAGGTTTGGATTTTAATTGCTCGCCACAGGCCCATGCGTGAAAGGCTTGGTCACCAGCCTGTGATGTTCCTGGGAGACACGCAACCTTTAAGAGGTAGGGCCTAGTGGGAGGAAGTTCGGTGTCTTGCAAGACACCGACCCTTCCTAGCTCTCTTTCCTGTCTGCCAGGCAGTGAGAAAATGCTCTGCAAACCTCTCCCAGCCGTGATGTTCTGCCTCACCTTGGGCCCAAAGCAGTGCGGCCCAGTGATTGTGGGCTGAAAGTAAATCTTTGCTTCTTAATAAATTGATTATCTCAGGTGCTTTCTGTCTGCCGTGGAAAGCTGACTGACTCAGGGGCCCAGGTTTACAGCTGGGCTGCAGGGGATCAGGGATAGGTGGAGCTTAGCAGGGTGCAGGTTGCTTTATTTTGTGCTGTGATGTGGGTGCTTTATGATTTGCTAGAAGGCATTGCCCCTGAGTGTAGAAACCCGCGTGGTTGTGTAGATTGTATTGGTGTCAGTGTCATGCCTCTGCGTAAGTCAGTGTGTAAGCTTTGGAGGAAGGATTTGGGCATCTGTGGGTTTAAATCTTTATACTGAGCAAACACGAGAATACATATGGAACCATCATTTACGTCTTCTAAGCCAAAGTCTCAAGGACAAGAAAAAGGAAAGTCAGCAGAGGGCATCAGTTACACAATTATACAGGATTTCAAAACCATTGAAATCACCGAAATCAGTCTGGAACACAGTGCCATCTGGTGGAAGGTATTGATATTTTCTTTTACGTGACATTGGAGGAGAGACTTGAAATTCTTGCTTAGCTGTGGTGAGGGAAGTAACTACACCACTCTGACTTCTCTATGAATTCAGGAAGCAAATAGCGCGTGAGTTTTTGAGAAATAGCAGTACCTACATCTTACAGCACCCAGTGTGTCCCAGGCACTGTACTGTGCACTTTACAATGACATTATCTTCTCATGCCAATCCTGCAAGGGGTGTCATTTCTATTTCGCAGTTAAACTGAGGCTCTGTGTGTCAAGAACTTGTGTAACTTAACAGGCTGGGCTGATGACCTGCTTTTCTGACAACTGAACTGCATCAAGCGCTGAAGGTCAGATGCTGTGTCAAATCCGTCATTCTCCCTTACTCTCGTCCCTGACATCTACCAAAATATAGTGTACCTACTTCGGCTTACCTCTACTCACTTTCTGAAATTTGTGTTTTATGGTGCTTGGCATCAGGAATTTATTCAGTCAATAACTACTTGCTGAGCATTTTCTATATGACAAGTATTGTGATGTATCTATGAATAAAGAAGTTAAAGGTCCTTGACCTAACAGGCCTTACATTCTAGCGGGAGAAGACAGATAATAAACAAATGGAATGGAATGCTGTGAAAGAAGAAAAAAAGTGGTATAGAATTAAATAAGAGGGTCAAGGTTAGTATCATGTAAAAGGTAGTGTTTAACTGAAGACTGTTAAGAAGGTGAGGGGACAGTTCAGATTCACTGGGGCAAGAGAATTCCAGGCAGAAGAACTGCTGCGAAGGCCCCAGGCAGAAGATTGCTTGACATCTGTGTGCAATAACAAGGAGAACAGCAGATGAGGTCAGAGAAGTCATGCGGGAGGGTAGATTACGTGTGACAGTGTAGGCAGTTAGAAGGACTTTGCCTTTGACTCTGAGATGGGAGCCCCTGGAGGGCTGTGAAGAAATGAGTTGGGCTCACATTTTGATAGGCTCATTCTGGTTAGCGTGGGGCAGGAGTAGATGCAGGAAGAATACTACGAGGCTCTTTAAGTAATCCCAGCAAGAATGATGGTAGCTCAGAAGTGTGACAGTAGAAAAGTGGCAAAAAGAGTCATGTTGTGGATATAATTTGAGCATAAGGCCCATGGAGCTTCTTCACATTACTTGATGTAGGGTGTGAAAGAGAAGAGTTATAAATTAAGATTTTGGGCCTGAGTGAATTTAAAGATAAATACGCCATCAATTGAATGGGAACAGAGAGAATGCAAGTGGAGATTTCTGGGAGGAAGATCAAGGTTTATTTTGGGGCATATAGGATATGAAAGGTCATATAGACAGCCAGACTGAACTGTGAGTCAGAAGTAGGAGAGAGAGTTTGGAATGTGAGGTCCATGAAACGGAGATAAATTTCAGATTTGTTGGCAATGTAGATGATACTTATCTGCTATGAGACTGGATGAGGTCATCAAGGAAGTGGAGATCTACAGAGATAAAGAAGGTGATCAAGTACGCCAAAGTACAAAGGTAGGGGAGAACAACAGGAGTAAAGGTTCTGACAGCAAACCCCTGAAGCAAGAGGAAAATAAGCAGTTTTGTGTCCTGGAAATCAAGTGCAGAGTGTGACTCAAGAGGGAGAGGGTGATCAGCTGTGACCGGATCAAAATGTAAGACAAGGGAAACAAGGACCGAGAATTGACAATTGTATTTAAGGAGGAGGCGGTCAGTGGTGTCCTTGAAAGAGCAGGGCTTTGGTGCATTCTAAGAGGGGATAGAAGAAGAACTGGAGCAGTAAGTACAGATAGCTTTCTGGAACTTTTGCTTCATAGGGAAGCCAGGAAATAGGACAGAATGTAAAGGGAAAGTGAAGATTTAAAAAACCACATTTGCGTGCCGATCGGAACAGAATTGTAGGGAATAATAGTTGATGACGTGTGGGAGGAGGTTGCTAGGGGAACATTCTTGACCGAGAGAGATGGGATCAAGTGCACGGGGCCAGCACTGGCCGTAGGCAAATGTAGGGGTAGAGGACTTACGGTAACAAGTGGGAAAGCAGCGTATATGGACCAGATGTCAACAGTGGGTACAGGAGGTGGAATCTTCATTAGTTCTTCTCTGATTGTTTCCATTTTCTCGGGGACGTTGGAGGCAAGGAATCAGGTGTGATCCCTCTATAGCGGGAGTATGTAGGGGAGTAAGGAGATAGTGTGAATAGCTCAAGGTACTGGGAGAACGAATGGGCTAGTGATGCTTAGTGTCATTAATTGGCAGTATTAAAGGCTCACTTGAGTATGGTGGCGATGAATTTAAAATAAAACCCATTCACTTGGCTTTGTGTATGTACTTATATGTGTGCGTTCAAGGCCATGCAGTTACATGTGCAGACCAGCATAGGTAGAGAGTTGCCTTTACTCAGAACGGTGATTTTATCAAGTTAAGGGAAGGTCCAAAGGGAAAGATATTAAGTGTACTTACGACTGACCATGGAATTTAAGTTGGGTATGAAGGACAGAGAGGGGACTGAGGAACAGAAAAAAAGGTCAATTGACTGGGTGTCCAAGAGGTTAGAACTCTAGAAGTTGGTGACAAAGATAAGAAAGAAGATAAGAAGTGGAGATCAGAGTGTGGATAGTTAAAATTTTGGGAATAAGCAGCTGACATTGGGTGGAGGGCAAGATTGTTGGAAGAAATAAGTCCAAAAAAATGACAGGTGGGAAGAGGCAATTCATATGCAGGTACACAAAGGATGATCAAAATATATGGTGAATGTCTAAATTTAAAAACTATTATACTAAAAGACACATTGCCATTAAACCCCTTCAATATATCCCACACACACACTTTGCACACCCTTATCCCATCATTCATGCCTCTTTCTGAGGCAGATTTGGAAGTTCTCTTTTGTGTCTTTACAAGGTGTGATGAAAAACAAAATGGATGTTGGTGCAGGGTCATAGAAGCATTGCAGTGTGTCCTCATCTGCCTTATTCACTGGATCTAGCATTGTGCAAATTTTAGCTCTTAAGTCAACGTGACCATGAAAGGTCAACATTTTGATTCAGTTCAGGACATCGAGGCAGCCATGACAGCAAAACTAAAGTTACTCAATAAAAAGGACTTCCAGAACTGCTTCAGAAAGTGGCAAAAGTGATGGGATAAGTGGGTTTGAAGTGAGAGAGAGAGTATTTTGGTGGGGATTTGTGGCAATGAGTCTTCTACTGTAATAAATTTTTATAATTTAAACAGTCAACATATTTTCAATCATATTACATATGAAAATCCACAAGAAGTAGACGGGAGTAGCACCAGAGGGAGTGAGTAAAACAGAAACTAAACATCAGGAAATACGGGAGAAGGGGTTGGGGGTTGGTGGTTAAAAGCAGTGTCAGGTGTGCTGTGATCTGAAGTGGAGGTTTAAAGCTGGGGGCTTCAGTGAGGAGGAGGAAAGAATGGTCTGAATGCAAAAAAGTAAAATAAGGAAACCCAGTCCATTCTAGGCTCCTAGGTTATAGGAGAGAAGCCAGCACCTTTTGAGAAGACTGCAGAGCAATTAGTGCACTCAGAGAAAATCTGGTTAGAGCAAGGCCGTAAAGGGTGCATGGCAGAGACTAGCTTGAAGACACAGAGAAAGCTGCTGAGCGATGAGTTAGGGCACACTGGAAGGCTTCAGAAATCTGGGAGAAGCAGAAGTAAGCAGAATAGGGATGTACAGAACCATATGTGGATTAGAGTAGATGGAGACCTTCAAGTCTGGGGGCTCCGGGATGGCTAACATAGACTGGCATAAGAAGCTACTGATACCAGAAAATTCAGGGCAGAAAGTGTGGCGAAAGTATGTCTGCTGGTAGGTGTGCGGGAGGGTGGATTTCTGGGGCTTCCTCCTCACTTTTAAGGGAAGTGACTCAGATTGTGGGCCTCCTCACAGCATCAGAAACATGTTCACCGCTAAAGGGATCGGTGTGCGAACTCTCGGGTGATTCGCATTTTAACCAGGGCTCTTTGGAGATAACGGCACACGTTTTCTGAGAATTGTGCAAAACTGTAATAGTGGGTAGCATTGCGATGTTCTGGAAAGCTTGACTCTGTGCAAAGTGATCAGAGCTTACAGTGAAGGCCAGCTTTGCCCAGCTTTGAGGAGGCCCAGAGCTTGATACTTTGTTAGCAGCCATGTTGAGAGGCAGAACCCACTTCATTAGAGTCTTGGTTAGTGCCGGGAGGATCTTTAATTCCCCTTGGCCTTCTGGGGCTCACTGAGGCTGTCTTCACTCTGTGTCTGCTCATGACTCATGTTCGCGAGTTTCACTGAGGAGCGAAGACTGAAAACTGAACCTGATATAAAGTGCCATGAAATTTGATCACAAACTGAGCAGGGAAGCAGCAATTTGTGTCTTGACTCATCCCGTAGCTTGCCACCGAGTCTGATGTTAATAAGTTGAGAACACTGTAATGAGAACTCACGGCATTAAACAAAGTGGTTAAAATTAACAGGTGTACACTGTGACACGGGAAGCAGCTGGTGTGCCTTTAACTGGGGAACACAAAGCATTATCATGTCAATAAGCTCAGTAGGACTTACTCATAAACTCTAGTCATCGTAAAGAGCTATAGAAGTGTTTTTTTTCTTTCTCAGCAGTCTTTCTGTAACATTCATAAAAAAATGAATTCATAGCTTAACATTGGGAGGCTTTACTCTAGAATCTCAGGAAACTGGAAGTAAAGATCCTAATGTCAATTTTATGAAGTTTTTTTTATATCATACTTAAGACTAAGTTATGAAACAAATGTTGGCAAGTAATGTTGGCAAGTATAGTTTTTCAAACTATAGTACAGTGATGGCGAAACTTTTAGAGCTTTCCGTGATAACAAACAGCTGGCTGAGGCATGTGTACCGTAGGTTCACCACCACTGTGATAGGATAAAGAACATCGAAGTACATCATGCTACAAACTCACTAAAATATTCTTGCCTGTAAATAAGCAGTTATTTCCTAGCTCCTTCAGGCTTTCCGCTTGTAGGCTGTGTACTGATGCATCTGGTGATGTATCTGGGGTCTCTAAGACTTCCAGACATTGATTCACAGGGAAGCCCAGTAAGGAAAAGGCTGGACTTTTCTTTTTTCTTCTTACCTTTAGTTCTCTTTTTTCCATCTCTTCGATGTTCCGGGGTTTTCCAGCTGCAGCCTGGGGAACTCCACCTCCCCTCCCTACTGTCTGTGGAAGCCTGGCAGAATTACCTTCTAAATCCACAGACACTTGGTCAGGAGGTAAAGCAGGTTAGAAGACCATGGTTTCAAAACTCTACCAACCAACCCTGTGAGTTAGAGTCTTGCATTATATCCTCCACTAGGAATGATACATTTGGTTTTTGATTGGTCAAAATCAGTTCCATTATTCCTTTCTTTGTCAGAAGTCACAATCACCCCCTTCTAGAACATTAGTCAGTGTTGGGGCAAGTGAGTGGATAATATGATGTTCAATTTAAGTCACTGTGTCAGCACTTAAGGCAAAGTCTTTCCCTGGGAAGGTGACCCAACCCTTCCTCCTCATAGCACTGTATTCAACTGTTTATTTAGCTATTGTGTAAGCATGTATCCTGTTACTTCTCTGGCACTCCCAGTGACTGGGAGATTATTATGAGTTCAAGAAATGTTTGATGCAGAAATAAAGCCGTGACAATATTTAAGGAAGATCTCTACTAAAGGCATGGTAGTTTAATGTCTTCTGAGCTTCCTGAGTTATGATCAACTCTGCAGAATACAAAACCTTTCCAATTCTCTATCAAATACGGAGGACAGAGGTAGAGATAGGGACAGAGAGTTAATGGAGAGTTGGAAAAGGGTATATTGTGGGATATAGAAATACTACTAATATAAATACATATTAACAACCTTAGCAGGCCAAATATATGCTATTGTTTCCCTTCCCTGATTTCCCTCATTTCTTTTTTGGCATGTAGAACACGAGGAGTGGAACACACTTCTATGCTGAGGAGACTAAGGTTAGCATTTCATTCTGCTATGTCTGGAGTTTTCTTTTCTCCTTGTTTATTAGGTCATCTTAAAGTTTAAACATCTAAACTGTGTAACATTGTTCAAAAATAAGCTCATCTGTAAGTCTTTGACAAAATGAAAAAGGACCAAGCACTTATAAAAAGTGAATTGGAGACAACCTTTTCATCGATAAGCTCTGTTTTGGTTTGGGGAAGTAATCTGGAAATACTGTGTCTGTCGTAAGGAGGGTGGCCTCTCTTCAGAATGTCATGCAGTGAAAACATGGATTACAAAGCCAAATGCCCAGACTGAGGGGAAGGGAACGGCAGAACTGTATGCTTGCATTATTCTGTACCGGCTCATCCACCTCCAGGTACACAAGCGTTTCACGTAAACTCCTTGCTTTGGAGCTTTTGAACCTTGTGACCAGTGAGTATGACTGGTCACAACTGACCTGGGTTACACTGAAAACGGATGAACATCTAACATAAAACTTTCACCCTGACAAATTGGTTTTGCACTGAGTGAAGATTTCAAGGGCTAAAACTAGTTTTAAGGTCCAAAGCAAAAGCATTGTTAAGGAGGGGGTAGTTCTCTCCTTTTGAATTGGAGCCTGCCCACATCCTCATTCCTTTCGTTGCTAGGGCTTACCTCGGTTAAAGGTAAGTTCAATGCCAGTGAGGTGAGGGGAATATAAGTGCTGATGAATGACTATTTTACTCTCTTGACTTACAGTATTCTTACTTTAAATAGCTGAAGTGGGGCACATTAACAAGAGAGCTCGTTTGAGAAGGGCTAATTTGAAATTCTAATAACAACCTGTAAATTGTCATAACATTTTGTATTAATTTAAAAATTTTGGGAAGGCTGTCACCTCTGTGGCAGAATGTACTGTATTACCTTAATAAACATTTTATTTGGGTAAGTCTGGGATATTTTTATATAATGGGCTAAAATTTTAATGTTGGAATTGTTTGAGGATTAAGGCATAAAAAAGGTTATGTTTTCCCTTAAACTTACAAAAATTTTGTTTTTCTTGTACCTTACTGACATCATGAAGAATCTTCTCAAGATGGCACATTTGCTTGCCTTATTTTATTTACATTTTGAATGGGCTCCTTCCTTCCTCCCTGCTCTGTCTTTCCTTTTTCTTTTCCTTGCCCTTTCCTCCTTCCCTTCCTTTCTCTTTCCTTCCCTTCCATTTCCTCCCTTGCACCCCATCCTCTGACATGAGGGTCATGCTAAGTTGCCCAGGCTGGCCTTCAGTTTGAGATCCTCCTGCCTCAGTCTCATGAATAGCTGGAATTACAGGCATATGCCACTGTGCCCAGTTTATGACATGCTTTTTTAAACTCCTGAATTTACTAAATAAAATTTGGGCTTTTGTGTGTTTCAGACCTCCATTTTTCTATGATCTGGCATGTTTTAATTCCTCAATATTTAGAAAAACAATGAAATTAGGAAAAATATCTTGGTACAATAATTATTAAAGGGATTCCTGGAGGCAGCTTGAAATTACTTAAAGTCTTTGTGTCTTTTCTAGATACTCAGAATTTTTCTTCATCTTTTTACTTTTCTTTTGGGTAGAAATTTCAGTTGAAGATACCTTGTTATTCTCTGCCAAAGAGCATCTTGCATCACAATGCTTTAAGAACTGAAATCTTTGTCATTAATCTCCTTAAAGTATCACATTAGGTATTGTTCACCTTACCTGGTTTTAGTTGAAACAAGTTCTTATTTTAATTTGGGTCTTCAGAAAAAGAAACAAACATTTTCATTTTTTTATATAGAATAAACTTTATTGTTATCACAGACAAAGATCAAAAATAAAAGTTTTTATGTACATGTGACATGTAGTGCAAATGGAAGGCTTTTAAATACCACAGACGGACATGTTGTTGGACACAAAGGGAGGTGAATGATGGAGGTTAAGATGGTCGTCCTGGAACCGCAGGAGGGGGTCGCCTAGTCAAAACAAACAAAATAAAACAAAATAACAAAAAGAAACACACAAATGCAGAGGAAGAAAGCAATCTTTAAATTATAAAACAAATCCAAATAGTAGCATGCAAAAATACTCCACAAAAGTTAAATTCAAATCGGACAAAAAACACAACACAACAGAAACCAGGCACGCAAGCAGGGGATGTGGAAAGACGGGGAGACAATGTTAGCGATTGCCAGGACGTTTCCTGGCTGCCGGCAGTGTGCTAGGTCTGAGTCCACTCAACAATCTCATTATTTTGCACCCCGGAATTATAAATTCATGCAATCCTTTTTAGGAGAACTAGGGAGAGTACTAGACCCAAACACCTCTATAACTTGCATGTTTATTTCACAGTCCTGACCTTGTGACACTCAATTATTTCCAAAGACTTAAATGAACATTCCGCAATCTTTATAGGAGGAGAAAGAATTGACACAGAAATATGGCAAGTGAAATTATTTTAAAGTGAGGGAACGAGAAGGTGTAAAGAGAGGAACTGAGTAATGTAATCAGTGCAGAAAATGGTGGGGGGTTAATCTCACAGAAAGTACTTTGCTTCAAGTGAATAGTTTTCACTTGTGACAGTGTGGAATCAGGCCCGGCGACCATTGGAGGTGAGGGCTGATCCATGGCGACCCCAAGATTTTGTAGGATTTCCCTCTGACTGAGAGCTAGGTGCAACTGATTTATTCCAAAGCGAGTTCAGGGTACACAAAATTTAGTTTGCTGGACTTCTCTCTCTATCCCTAATCTGGCTTGTACCTGTCTAGTCAGGCCTATGGATTATGAAGTCACGCTCCAGAGCTGTGCTCCGGTATTTGCCGGGAGAATGATTTGCAGATAGAGAAGATACAGCAACTGTACATAGCAATGAACAGCTCTGTAGTAGACAAGTGGTAGGCCAAATAAAGCTTTCCCTCTAGTTTCCAGCAAAAGTCTACACATAATTTCCTCTTTCAAGCTGAATCTGTAATGAACTGCAGCAGGGTAGAGAACTGTGAGGTTATCTCATACCCTACTCTCTTTGGAGCTTTGCTTTGTCTACTCAACCAGGTGTTCAACAACACTTCCATCCCTGTTAATCTTGTAACACTTCAGGGAGTGGATCTATGATGTCTATGAAAAGCAAAAACTGAAAAAAACCTGTTTTTATTTTCTCTTTTGTGTGGTGTTAACAGAGTCAAACTGATACCTACTTCTGAGCTGTTCTTCCTGAAAGCCAAAACCAATTTTTTTCAGTCCAATTTGAGCTGGCTACCGTAAAGAGGCCTTCCATCCATTTAAATGATGAAGAACTTACTATTAGTACCTAACCTTCCAAATGTGGGGGTTCTGCAATCCTTTAGGTTGAGGGATCCAGGTAACGGGTATCCCTGGTGTTTTCATGAAGAAAGCGTAATTGAATTTCTGTCAGATTCAATGAGATTTGTCACCTGGCCAGCAAACAGAAACTATGTTTGAATTCTGAAGGGGCTTTAGAACACTTTAATTACCTCAGGAGGGTGGAGAGGTGGCCATTAAATTGAACAGCAAGTCCACAGTGCTGAAGGGACTTTCTACGAGCACAGCCAAATCACTTTCCTGTTGGAGCTAGTTTGATGCCCTAATCCAGGAAGGAGATCAGAAATTCTGACTTGAAATATATTTCACCCACAGCTAGAATGTCTGCTTCAAACATCAGAGATCTATCTCCTCAGATAACTCTTTTCATGTTACTTATGTTGCATCTAACTTGCCTTTTGTTGTCAAAAAACAAAACAAAAACAAAAGCAAACCCACTGTTGCCGATACCAGATACCAACGTTCAGGGAGTAGGTCAGAATCAGTTCTGTCATGAATCTGGGCAGTTCGGGTTTCTGCTCACTCATTTCCAGAATTCTCTGTATTACTTAGAGTGCTTGAAAGCAAGAACTGAACATACTGGGCTTTTTGCCTGGAGAGCTACAAAGGTATCTCATCCTATTGTCACTCCATCATGAAAGCTGGAGTCTTAAATCTGGATGGTGAATTGTTAACAAATTTCAGAGCTCATCATACTAGCATTTGCCATGTAAGTACATCAACCTAATAAAGATTATAACTTGAAGTTATATTTTCTGAAGCATCCTGAAAAGTAATAAAGTTGTTTGACCAAAACACGAAGGTAAAGAGATAAGAAAATCTGTATATGGGATTTATACCCCCAGCTCATAATTTATATATATAAGACTCAATTATTATTAAAATTGATGAATGGCCCACATTCTCTTGGATCAACTTCAATTTGGTCTGATGGTGACATTCTTGTGGCAAGATCCCTAGGAAGGTTTTTCCTATATATATTTTTTTCCTTTCTGTGAAAATTTCACAAAACTGTCTCTGCTTGTTTTGTTTGCCCATCATTCGGGTAACTTACCATGCTAGAATACTAGAGCTTGGGAAAGTGAAGAAAGGCAACAGGAATAGGTATTCTTCCAAATTCCCTCATGATCTTTAATTTTAAACCAGCCTAGATCGCTTTCATAATGATCTCATGAGGGTAATGTAACTAAGTGAACAGAACTCGTTTTTGGAGAGTAGGAGAGACAAAGTAACATAGAGAACCACCCGAATGCGACCCCAGGCCCTTGCAGATTCATCGCACGGATGTCTCCTCTCTGCTTCCAGTCTCTGGATTCCTGGAACCTTCCCCCTGAAACTCGGATACCACTGTGACAAAGCACTGGAGCCCTGGGAGGACTCTCCTAAGTTGGGAGCTATCATTACTGTTTTACTTTATTCTATCCCCCACCCTTTTTTGGTCACAGTCTGTACTAGGATAAGCACACTTAATGTGTTCACCCCACCCTAAAGCCACTCAAGAAAATAATGGAAGCTAAACTGTTGGATCAGGAGCTCAATTATTTACCAGTAAGACATGCATTTTGTTGACCTAATATTTGGGCTGAAAATCATTCCTCCTCCTACTTCCCAGACCTTTCGACAAATACATATTTTTCAATGGTAAACATCACATACCCTCTAGCTACCTAAGGTTCGTGTCCTTCAGTCTATTCCAACAATTATTTCAAAAAGGGGAACAAGTCTTGCCCATTCTCCTGCCTTCGATTTATCCAATTTGTTGCCTTTAAAAAAGTATTCTCTCTCCCTTGATTAATGACAGAAAAGCAAAACATTACCATTCTCCATTTTGGTAATTCTGAGCCAATTCAAGCATAAGAGCTATAAAATTTTTATAGTCTCAGGTACTACTGAAATGCACAGACATGACTCATATATGAGAATAAGGAAAGGGAGGGTCCTTCAAATGTTATAATTTATTTGAGGTTCAGAAATACAGCTTCACATTTTCACAATAGGTACATATGACCTTCAAGAATGATACAGGCTTTAGGAATTTGCTTCAAAAACTCCATTCACAGAGTCCACACAGCCACAGTAAGAAATCCTGAAAGTGCCCAGAAGACAGTGGAAAATATTCTGGCTCATTTAAATTAAGGAATCAACAGAGAACAGAAGATTTCACTTTTGTACACGACTTCATTAAAAAAGTGAAAGAAGAATTTGATTCAGAAAAGGGAGCAAATAGGAACACAGACATGTAGCAAAACAAAGGCTGTCCATATGAAATAAAACACAGATCAAATTGATAGTGGTAAGATCTCTAGTGGGGAGAAATGACTTTTACAGAGGTCAGTGGAAGAGGGCAGAGAAATTTTTGTCATAATTTAAAAATTACATCGCAAGCAAAGTTTAAAGAATTGAAGGATAAGATTAAAAAGAAATTAACGCTGAGCCACATGTGAAACCCTCCACCAGAGAGGTGAGAAAGTCTCACCGGTATACTAGGATGAACAGCCTAAAACAGGAGAATCTTCCTTGCGTTTTCCCTCTTGCTGTCTCACATACATATATGTGTTTATATATATACACACACAAATGGTGAAGCATACACTACATATATTTCAAAAATATTCTTAAAATTTCACATACAGAGCACCACACAAATTTAAACATACCAACTAGACAGAATGACTAGGATCATCTAGAAGACACATTAGAGCTCTTTCGAAAGGACTGAGTAGTCTATCTGGTGAGATATCCAGTTTCTCCAAAATCAGGTACTTTCTTTCACATTAAACTCTGAGCTCTCAGAGAGCTGTCCTCTAGGTGAAATGGTATAAAACTCAGGGTCTGAGTCTCAGTGGTGATCTTTTTTACATGGACTTCAACCGTTCAGAGACCTATGGTGAAGCTTTATTCTTAATTCTAAAAGGATTGCTGTCAATTTCAAAAATTAGACCATTTGCCAAATGGGAAATGTTTATTTGAAAAAGTTGATAATCCACCTCCAAGGAATTAAGTAACTTCTCCTCTCCATTTAAAAAGCAATTTTACTCAGAAAAATCCATTACTTTTATTATGTGGCTGACTACCTCTATTTTTTTATATTTCATATAAACAAAAAATGATTACATAGATCAGTTTAACTTTTGAACATTCAGTTTATTAATCTAATAATAACTCATAATTCTACCTGGAGATCTTAAAGAAAGGTTTCAAGATCTTAAAGTTCTCAACCTATATTGTCAAAGGTAGAAGTGCTGTGGATTTAGATACTAATGCCTGTCGATGTTACCTTGGTGTCATGGTTATTATAAACTTTGTGCCTCTCAGAATGAATATAATCCAAAATTAGGAAATTTTGTGTTTCATGTATGTTATGAAAAGTGAACCACTGTTATTATGTGTTATGCCAGATCCTCCAAAGATATCTCTTGGATTAACAGTTTAAAAATATATTTATAGTCACACATACTAAGCACATGTTTACATAGATATTTACACCCATACATATACATATATATATATACACAATTCACATTCAATCACACTCATGCTTGTGGCATTTTAACAATTGCTTCTAAACTTACTTAAAGAGAAACAAAATACATGTACTTATAGGAACAAATTTACTATGTATATACTGTATACACAGAGACACATGCATAGAAAATGTGTTTGTACACAGAAAACATCAACATTTATCACATACTGGTATTAGGTCCCATTTCATATTTGAGAATTATGGCTACAGTCTACACTTAAAAGTCACAAAATTAATCTATGTGGCTACCTTTTATCCTAAATTCAGAAGGTTTATAGTTATATTGCAGAAACTGGTTTCATTGCATTTGGGGATGAGTTTGTGTCTGAACATATAGCAAATTTGCTAATACACAGACCCTATTGTTCTTCTATGTTATAAAACACACCTAAAAGCAATACTCTGAAGGATATTCTTGGCAGGTGAATTCAGGAAATGCAATATGCCTGTTCTAAATCAACTATTTCTCTAATCTGTCCGCAACTGAGTAAATGGTTATTCCAATTAGTCCATGAGCATGCAAGATTTAGCGTGTGACAATAAAATTAGATTTACCTATCAAATAAACATACAGTTTCATTTTTCCAGTCCTAAAAATATCTTTTTTCAGTGTGCTGGACAAGATGGGAGCTACATCTATTGTGTTGACAACATCAGAAAATTAGAAATGGAATGGAAACAGGAAGCTCTTTAAGCTACAGTCCCATCCTAAGGCCTGATGCACATGCTGAACCTCAAACTATACATATACATTCAAGAGCTTCAGACTTCATTCACACTGGCATCTCCTTTTAACAGGATGCAAAACCTTATGACAGTACTACAGCAAACTGAAAATATTCTCAAATGTGACCGCTGAAATTTTGGGGAGACTGGGTTCTATTAGACATAACTTAGGAGTAAAACAAAATAAAAATGAACCAACAAAAGGAGACAATTGGAACAGTGCATCTGTGGGACTATAATCTAAAAACAAAAGCCAATGATGACAAATGCCATTGTTTATGACTGCCTAAGATCAGTGGAAAGAAACTTGGAAAAAAATATCTCCAGTTTTCTTTGACATGGTTTGTGCTGATCTGAGAACACACCAGTGGTTGTCCACAATATTTTCTTCTAACAGAAGGAAATTTTTGAAATACAGCAAAATGCAAAACCACATTTAGCACAAAGCCAAACCCTGGAGTATATAATCTGTTAGCTGCCTATTTTAAAGAATTCAAAGGAAGAAGCAAAGGGAATCCTAAAAAGAGGGAGTTTTATGAAAAGACTCACTGCAGATTGCTTTGCTGTGTGTATATGTAAGCTTTTCCATCTATTTATTGTTAAAGGGTACTTTATATCTTGCACGTTGATTCCACTTGCAAAGAGTTAATTTTTTTCAACGAGAAAAAATAAGATACAAGAGGACATTAGGGTAGGAATGTTCTTTCTGTAATCACTTGTAAAGTTGAAAATTTATTTCTTTTTTTGTAAATCTGTATTCTCCATTTTTTCCAATCATAACTGGGCTAGCTACAACCCTTTACAATATGTTCAATACAATGTCATTCCACGTGGCAAGTTCTCTTTTTCATAAGGGTTAAAAGTTTTTATTTCATCCTTTACGAGTATCTGCCTTGAGTATAAACTACACAGGAAATTAAAGTTAAGTTAACATACAAATCATGTTTGTTGCTTTCAAAGGGAGACATTTCAGTTAGTAAAATCTGATTTACTTCTGTAGAATATGAAATAATGTCATGGGACCCCATGATTCAGTGAATACTTGCTCTGCTGTCTGGGAACAGTTAGCAGACAAAATTCCAATTGGCTTCTGACTGTTTCCTACACGTTAATCATCTGGTCCTCAGTAGTTTAAAACCTAGCCTCAAGACTGAACCATAAGTTCCAAACTAAACTGCTTTTGTAAATTTTAGAAGCTTCAAGTTTACTTTGGATCTCAATGTTTCAATATAATTTTCTGGAGTGAGCTAGGTAGGGACTCTGTAAAAGTGAGAGGGCTGCCTTCGACCACAGCATCTTTCACGTTTCTTCCTAGCCCAGGTACTGTTCTTTCAACATGATTATTTCACAGTAAGCCTCAAGATTTCTTTAGAAAGCTTAAATGTTGATCTGGGGATGTTGCTCTGTGGTAGATCACTTGTCTGGCATTTGCAAAATGCTAGATTCATTCTCCAGTATTTTTGTTTTGTTTTGTTTTTCTCCGGTACCGGGGACCGAATTTTTGACCTTGCGCTTGCCAGGCAGGGGCTTTGCCACTGAGCTAAATCCCCAGCCCTCATTCTCCAGTATTAAGGTGGGGGGAGAACTTAGAATGGATACTCACACTACCTCTTTTTAAAGAGTTCTTACATAATTATTTATATGCAAATATATAAGGGAATCGCAAGTCAGAATGGAAAGAATTCTTTTTGCTCCAACCAAAATAATAAATCACAATAATAAATTGGAGTTAGTACCAAGGTACAGTTAGTCACAACAAAAATTAGATTAGCTGGAAAAATTAACATTTTCCAGATTGGTCTTCAACATCACTTACCAGGAGGGGACTAGATAAGGAAGTAAAGGTTTTACACTTCTGCAGACACTTTTAGAGATGGAATGTTTTGCTTCTTCCTTGAACTCTAAAACTAATTGAATCTATTGGCTTATTGCCTCAAATAAGCTGTGATTTCATCTTAGCCTCCGCTTGTGGCACGAAGCAAAGCATATTGGCACGAGGGGCGGCTCTCTAGAGCAAACAATAGAGACTTTTCCTTTGCAAACTACCTTGTGCTTCTGGAAAAGTCTTATTCTTATGGAATTCCAGTTTTAAAAAGATCACTTCCTAGCAGTGTTATGAAATAAAGAAGAAGGAACGAGTAGTTAAATATGTAATTATCAGGTAGGTGATAGCACTAATAATAGACAAAAGAGTTTCTGCCATCTTAAATAGAATGGGAAAAGAAATATGTATGGCTTAGTTCTAAGCTCATTAGTATCTCATATCTGTTAAGAATTATATTTAATGAGCTACCTGGTAGACAACTTGGAAAAGTTGTCTAAAGCAATTTCAAATATATGCCAGGCTTGGCAAATGGTACCCAAAGTACAGGGCTGCTCTACAAACCTACCTTCGTCAGAAGTTTTCAAGAGTCAAACCCCCAAAATAGACATACCATGAGCAATGAAGATGCGTGACGAATGCATTAGTCAAACTAGTTACTTGCCTACTCATGTCCACACATGCGACTACTCATGAGTTACTGCAACAGTTATCGACTATGTTGCTTTCGCATAATTCGTTAGTGATTAATTGCCATGCCAGACACTTCCTTTAGTCTAACAGAGAGGATTCTAGTGGACGAATTATAGTGGGACGAGTTGGTGATGGGGGTGGTCTCCGGCTAGAAAGAGAGAAAGAGAGAGGTAAAGAAACAAATAGAATAGCAGAAAGTTGTTCCCAAGGATGCCGAGAAAGAGCCGACGTGCACATGCGCATGCAGTTCGGGCCAGCAGCAGTGGTTGCAGTTGGTATTGACGGAGTACCGTTGTCATCTTAGATTCATGAAGCAATTTTCAAAGAAAATTAGATATTTTTCCTACGAAAAACTTTCTCAAAATCAGCCAGATTTTTAAATACTAAATATAAGAAATCATTTGAAAACTATCTAAAAAATACTGCACATATTTCAGCCGGTAGAGTATAACGATTATGTACAATGAACTGGGTTGTGCTTTACCTACTCCAGGAACTAAAAAGGTATGTTAAGTCTCACACAGTCACGGCTTTTGGATATTTATCTGTCTTTATATAATTTTCTTCCTCTTTTTCTATCAGGATGTTAGTTCCGATTTCTCAGTGCTTTGAGCAGTCACACTCTCCAATTTGCTCTGTATTTTGCAGGGCACTAGAAATTCAAAGAAGTCTTTAAGAGCTCTCTGCACTAAGGGTCAACAGGCTCAGTCTAAGTAATTGAGGAAACAGTATAATTCTAGTTCCTGTTTTGGACCTAAAGGTTTTAACATTAGCAGTAACAATGACCACTTTCTCTGGTTGATAGTGGGGTTTCTGATAGCTGAATTTTTAAGCAAACATATTCCAGATAATTAAATTTTACTGCAGTCAAGAATCTCATTATTATCAAGTAATATTATTTATTCCCTGAACTGTTATATTTATTTCTTAAATATTTTAATGAGTGAGTTTGTGTGTGTGTGTGTGTGTGTGTGTGTGTATACTTCATATGATGTACCTTGGGGGTAATTTTAATACTTCCCAAATTTCAACAAATTATATCAACTGAGACATTTTTCATTCATAAAATTCTCCACTGATTGTTTTTTTCTGAAAGACTCCTTCTGCAATTATAATCACATCATGGGATTATCTTCTGTTTTGGAAACAATAACTGGTCAAAGTTAAGGTCTATTTTGAGGTATGAAGACATGGAATTAGAAAAGTTGAAGAAAACACTTATGAAATGTTTAAAACTCACATCGCTGTTGCCTAGTTCTTAGGGTTAGCACAGTCACTGCTGGGGCCCTGGTCTTGCTTCCCCCTCAAGTAACAGCAAGAACCATAAGAAAGTCCATGGAAAATCAAAGCAAAAGCAAAAGAGATACTATTAATTAATGGTGAAAATACTGACTACTTACACATAAACTCGTAAATACTGAGTTTCTTTTCCCTCCTATACTAAAAACATGTCTAAGAGACTTTAAAATAAACCTTTTCCTGTAAACGTGTATTCTAATTTAATGACTATGCTACCTTTTTTTAAAAAACAGTTAAGCGGGCACTTAGTTTTTAGAAGTTACTTAGGCATACATAGTAGGTACAGTAAGAAAGCTAAATCTACATTAGTGGTATAACTCAGTAAACAAATAATTCTTCTTCCTACAGAAAGGCTACCATGAGCACCTGAAATGCTTTGGGAATTCTCCACCAGGAAAAATCCTCTCATAATTTCGTTCGTACCTACAACTATGCAAAAACATCTCTTTTCTGGTATATTGTTCATCTTTGTTTAAAATGGCTGAATTTCCTATATCTTGAATCTTGCACCTGCATTGTTTCCCTTTTAGAAGTGATGTTTTCTAGGTCAGAGGCCATGCGTACTTCACCCGTTTCACCTGGTGCTTAGCATGCTGTGACTTGCAGTTACGTTTTCACTGTGCTTTTGTTCATCTTTTCGTACTTCTCTTTCAATGCACACCAAAGCATTCTCTGTCCTACCTGCCTTTTTCAGATACTGTTGCCTCTATGGCATCTTAACATATTTCAATTAGGAGTCATCACACTGAGTTACAATGCGGTTTACACGATTATTTTCACTGATTAGATATGTGCTGTGCCTTACTCTTCTTCATGTTTCTATAATAGCTAGTTCTTTGCTTATTGTTTACTCAGTGAATGTTTGACAACTGAATAAAGCAAAGTTATTCCTCTGGAAATCAAACAACTTATGAATAGTTACGATATTCATTGGTCTTATCATAATAGAGGGTGTCAGTAAATCATGATCATGGTGCAAAAAAATAAAAACGTGACATGTAGGGCTGAGACTCCAGGGAATTCTACATATAAAACTAGATGACTCAGTTCTTCATTAGGTGTTTGGAATAAGTACTAAATAATAAACACCCTGTCCTAAAGGAGTTTGACAAATAATAATGTAATATATGGAGATGTATTCTTAACAATTAAGCAATTATGAGGGTGGGTGTAGAAAGTTGCCCAGAATTTGAACTTGGAGGGAAACTCTACCAATAATAATAGACTTACACAGGGGTTTTTATTTGAAAAAAACATATTTTGGGCTGCACTTCCGGTGAGAGGCAGGATACAGTTTAGCATGATAGACTGGAAATTGTTTTATGCAAACTGATAGCTTGGACTAAGGTTTGTAACCAAGAGAAAAAAAACTGCAAAGGGATTCTTTTCTGATCCTTTCATTTCTGGCTTAAATGCCATTCCTCAGTTCTTCTAGACCATCTCAGTCTCCCACGTCTGCCGCCTATCCTATCACTTAACTCTGTGATTACATATTTATTTACTAAACTATTTCCTGTGCTCCCTATAAATTAAAAGTTTCCTGAGAACAGAGACCACTTATGTTGCATTTTTACAAATATTCAACATTCAGTACAATGTGATTAAGTGGTAGTAAATAAATATTCACTGGGTGAGAGAGAAATGAGTAAATGGGTGAATGAAATGTATTGCCTAAGCAAGATATTTATTCAGGCAATAGTCAAAGCTAGGGCAAGTTGAGCAGGTCCAGAGAAGCCAGGGGTGCAAAATTTGGAGGTGTTTTTCCAAGACTAATATTTGAAGCAATATGTTTACATAGAAAAAGTCCTGTACCAAAAGTCAAATAACGTGGACTCTAGCTCCAATTTTTGACTTGTGCAACCATTAACCTACTAAACTTCTCTAGGTCTCAGTTTTCTCAAACGTGACACACACTCAGCTAGATGATATGTACTGGGCCTTCTAGTCATATACTTCACGAACTATTAATTGAGTATCTACTTCATGGATTGGATCATGTTGGGTGATTTTGAAGGTGCTCAGAATATTCCAAATAGCAGACTAGTAGAATAAGACAAAATGTGCAAGTGGTTTTACCATAGCAGTACATTTTAAGTGGAATAATGGGGCAAAATTGTGTAGTTCACTGTGTAAAGTGTATACTATAAGGAGCTTGAAAATAAAACAGTGTGGTTAAAGCAAGGGCAAATGTGATTTTAAATGCTGCTTATATAACTTGGAAGTTGTGAAGGAATGTAGGTCTATTATGAGTGAACTAGAATTTAAATGATGACAACTGAGGAATTCATTGGTAAAGATGAAGAACAGAAAAATTCACATACTCTGATGGCACAGTAAATTCTCATTAATCTGTTCTTTAATCCCTGGACCATGCTGAATGGGTCACAAGAAGCACAAATTGAAGAAAGGACAGCAGATAAAAGATGGAGAGAGAGGACACCAGGAGAATACATTTCTGCTATGTGTCTGTATTGTTGTGCATCTTATTTATTCCATATCCTGGAACTTAGCACTGCCTTTGGCTCCTAAGTATTTATTTTCCCAAGTAAGCCAGGAGAACCTATTCACCTAGCTAAGGGCCTTGCATTGATAAATGCTTCATCTAACTGTGGTGAATCTTTGAAACACACCCACTTTCAGGTTGAAGGAACCCACATATGTACTTAGTGCTGTGGTTTGTGCCTAGATGTCTCCCCAAAGCCTCATGTGGTCATGAGACTTTTTCAGAGGTGGCTGAATCTAGAGTGTGTGATGCTGGGATTAAGGGCGTATGATTAATAAATCACTCCACTGATTGGTTTGGCATAGTTATGGCTACGATTAAGGGTGTGAGTGCTACATCTGCCCTAGGGCGGGTAGCCTCCATACAATGTAAGGGACAGAAAGAGTCTAGTCTCCTCACTCCTGTTGCTTTGTTACCTTCTGGCTGCCACAAAAAGCACCCCCTGACACACACACATATGTTTGCTTACTTGCTTGTTTGCTTGCTTGCTTTTGCTGTCTTCTGCTGCCATGAACTCTTGACTCTCTGCCATGAGCCACCCTACCTTGGAGCCAGTCAATTATGGACTGATACCTCTATAGATTGTGAGCTAAATAATTCCTATTCTCGCTTCAGCAGCACATGTACTAATAAACCTTTCCTCCCTTAACTTTGGGCATTGGGTATTTTGTCTCAGCAATGAAAGAAAAGTAACTAAAAGAATTGGTAAATAAAAATCCTAAAAATTGTCCCATTCTTCTGGAAGAAATAAGGATTATTTTATTTCTAAAACAATAAAAACAGTAATCTGTGTGTAAAATTTTAGTAGAAAGCAATTAAAGAGAAGCATTAAGTTGTTTAGGATGAATTCTCTTAATAAGCAATACTGAGATGTTTGTCAGCTCCAACACCAGAAAAACATTTAAGTTTTACTGTTTAAATTCATTTCATTGGTCCAGTTCCTAACCATTGAAAGAGTTTCCAAAGACATTCATTTCATTTTGGGTGAAGCAAAGTTTTTTGTTTTGTACCAAATTTTCCTCAGTTGCTTTGTTTCATGACAGCCTTCATTAAGTAATCCATTATAATGAAATGGAGCATCTTGTATCAGTTAATATTTATTGAAATACTTCATTGTGTGTGGGCAGTTTATGGTTATGATAGACGAGCCATATTTCTGTTTCCAAATCAAAGGGAAAGATGTAATACTTGAGGTTGTATTTATGCTGCAGGGATGGACCATTTACAGTATTATGGACAAAGACAAATTTTACAAGAAAGGCAAATGCAGGGTGGGTGGTATTTTGGTGAAAAAACTGGCTTCTCTGATAAGACAGAAAAATGCATCAATTGTTTTTTCTCTTATT